TACTTGTAATCATGGCAGATCTCGACTACGATACACAGGGCTATGCAGATGACCTTGTTGTAGTAGTAAGAGGTCCCTGCCTGAACACAATTTCCACCAGGTTACAAGGAGCTCTCAATACCATCACAAGATGGTGCAGAGAAAATGAGTTATCAATAAACGCTGATAAAACAGTTATTGTACCATTTACCAGGAAAAGGAAGCTTGAAAGGCTGACCGAACTCAGACTCAATGGCAAAACCCTTAACCTATCAAATGAGGTAAAGTACCTTGGAGTCACTATTGATCAAAAGTTGACCTGGAACTCTCACCTCAACAACATTATACAAAAAGCCAAAATGGCCCTCTGGATATGTTGTCGAATGGCTGGAGCCAAGTGGGGCCTCAAGCCCAAAATGGCTCTCTGGATGTACACCGCCGTGGTAAGGCCGATCATAACATACGCCTCAGTCGTATGGTGTAACAAAACCAAACAAAAGACAACTATGAGTAAACTAGACAGCATACAACGGATGGCATGTCTAATCATCACGGGAGCCTTCCACTCGGCACCAGGCGACGCTTTAAATGCATTGTTGGACATAGCTCCGCTATATCTCCACGTGCAAAAAGAAGCTAAATCTTGCCTCTACAGGCTCTGTACACAATCGAATGTAAAGTTGCAATCGCAATATATGAACAAACTCAAGGAGTTGACATTCGAACACAAAACTCTGAAAATGCCAGTCGATGGCATGAGTACAGAGTTTAACTTCGCAAAACAGTACCAAATAGATCTTCCCAACCGGGACATGTGGCTAAAAAACCAAGAGTCTCACAAAAAGGGCAGTCATGTTTGGTTTACAGATGGATCCAAGAAAGGATCTGATGTAGGGTGCGGCATCTATGGCCTTAAGCCTAGATTTGACATGAGTGTCAATCTGGGCAAGGAGGCCACCATCTTCCAAGCCGAGGTCTTCGCCATCAACAAATGTGCTGAAGTCATCCTGGAGAGGAAGCTTAGAAACCAAAATATCTACATCAACTCAGATAGCCAAGCAGCACTTCTGGCTATAGATTCTCTTGAGACCAACTCTAAGTTGGTCAAAGACTGTATGGATAATCTGAATGTCCTGGGCACATCCAACAGAGTTACCCTCAGATGGGTCCCGGGTCACTCAGGCATAGATGGGAATGAAAAGGCTGATGCATTGGCAAGAAGGGGCGCTGAAACCCCAGATTGTGGCCCAGAACCATTCTGTGGCATTGCAAAACAACATGCCTATTCAATTCTCAAAATTCACTGCAATCGCCAAGCACTTCAAGAGTGGCAATCCACTTCTGGACAAATACACTCTAAAGCGCTAATTAAGGGATATCGCAAAAAGTTTACAAAAGAGTTGCTTCAACTCAACAAGTATAAAACCAGTGCAGTAACCAGAATACTTACTGGTCACTGCAAACTCAATAAACATATGTTTACCCTCGGCCTCAGTCAGACCGCAATGTGCAGACTATGCCATGAGACAGAGGAAACTGCTATGCATATCCTCTGCTCGTGCGGTCCACTCATGCACCGCAGAAGTATCTATCTAGGGCAGCATATTATGCAACCGGAAGAGATACAGATGCTCCCCGCTCAGAAAATCTGGAAGTTCCTGGAGTCAACAGGACTAAGCGGAGAACTTTGAACTCACTATAAAGGGAGCTACAATGGACCAAAACTGGTCGACGTAGCTAGGGCCGACCTCGGCACCACACCCAACATTAATAATAATAATAATAATCTCACGGGAACAGTACATTTTTCCGGGATAAAATAAACCTATTTGTTATTCTGATGTACGAGTATGAACTATATATATTATTGTAAAGTTTCATCAAAATCCAATCAGTAGTTTTTGTGTACTAAGCTGTATAAGTTACTATAGTTTTTTGGCTATCCCACGTAAACTCTTTAATTTTTCGGGATGAATAGTAGCTGATTTGTTTTTGTCATGTATGAACTATATTATTGTAAAGTTTCATTAAAATCCAATCAGTAGTTTTTGTGTACTAAGATGTATAAGTTCTTATAGTTTTTTAAGTATCCCACGGAAACTCTTTAATTTTCCGGGATGAAAAGTATCTAAGATGTTGCCTGGGGATATAAGGTACCACCGTGCAAAATTTCATTTAAATCGGTCCAATAGATTCGGAGATTAGCCCGTACAAACAGAAAAACAGACAAACAGCTCGCTCGGGTTCGTCCATACCTACGAATATGTTGTATTATCTCTTTAACCATTTGTCCAAATTATATGCAGTAAAAGGGAAAAATCTTTTGTTTTAAACATTTTAGACGATGAATTTACTTATTTTGATAAGAATTCATAATTGTTGATAATATGACCAATAAACATGACCTACCGATTTAAATTATTTTTTTAATATAAAAAATTACTTTTTGTGACTTAAATATAAAAGTTAGACATATGCTGTCGCTGACTTTTTTGTAGGCATTATTAAGCTCTACAACTTTTCTCTAGAACATAATCATATATCTCTCATCGTTAAGGCAGCGTTCGTAAGAAACGTTTTCGATCGACCGTTTTTTCTCCGACTTACTTTGCAAATCCTACTACCACAAAAAAGCCTTTTCATTTTTTGGGTTAATATATAGCCTATGACACTCAGAAAGAACGTGGCTTTATATTGGTAAAAGAATTTTGAAAATCGGTTCAGTAAATCCAGAGATTACCCCCTACAACGTCACAAACTCACAAACTCACAAACCCACAAACTCACAAACTCACAAGATCACAAACTTTACCTCTTTATAATATTAGTATAGATGTATGGATAATTTATGCACTTACAAAAAAAAATAGCAATGTTCTTATAAATTTTTTTTCAATTTTAGTGATTACTAGCGACTCACCCTCGCTCTACTGAAGTTCTTTCCTAGTAGTAAGTTTTAACATTTAACGTTCAATGGCCTTCACTACTTAACCCACGTCGGCCATTTGAGCCAGGGATGGATAGATTTGGATATTTATTAGTCTATAAACTGGGGTAACGAGACGTAAATAAAAGGAAATTATATTGTATTAACAGATTTTATACAGCTATTAAATATATACCTTATTATTAATTTTATACACAAAACTAGCGACTCACCCTCGCTTCGCTCGGGTTCGCCTCTAGAAAATCACTAATAGGGATCTATTAGTTTCCACGGGAACCGTTCATTTTTCCGGGATGAAAAGTTACCTGTTCTTTGACCGGCAATATAAGGTATCAGAATGTTAAATTAGGTGCATAAGTTGTTGTGTATTAAGCTGTATAAGTTACTATAGTTTTTTAACTATCTCATAATTTTCTGAAATGAAAAGTATCTTACATGTAGACCGGGGATATAAGGTACGACCATGTAAAATTTCATTTAAATCGGTTCAATAGTTTCAGAGATTAGCCCGTACAAACAGACAAAAAAATTGTTCTATTTGTCTACTTACATCCCCTGACACGGTTTTTAGCATTTTTTGCTATGTACAGACATTCTACCTCTGTTTTATTATAGTATAGATAGATAACGCCCGTATTTCAGGTACACGTAGGTTTCTGTGTTGCAAATATACTAGTTACACGATTAGTCAGGACCAAAATGCTAAATACACCAGGTATTCCAATTTTGGTAGCGTATTATTATAATGTAGCGCTTATATACTTCGTACTTCTTAAGACAATCATTGGGAACAAATAAAACAAATTCATATATGGAATATAATTTATTCGTAACAGTATATCACTGTACACTCTAAAATCAATTAAGAAGCTAGTTTTATGATAAAATCAGCATTTTTTCCTAAAATTACATAAAAATCACTTGATTACATTTGAGCCATTAAAATGTTTAAAAATAGTAACAGCGAATATCGCCTAACACTAATAGGCATTTTAAAATCGGTTAAAATCTAGATTGAGGCACATAACTAGTCTACAGATTAGCTTACATTATAATTATGGCTCTGCATACTGTTTGTTCTATGTAAGCATAAAATTAAAAAAAATTAACATCGTCAAGCAAAATCAATTTAGTTTTGCATATTTATAATAATAATAAATAAAAAATAAACAACTAAAACAAATCAAACGAGTTCTTTAAAAGTTGACAAAGCGCCCAACTTAATAGCGGCTCGACAACGCGCACTTTATATACAGGGATTGTATGCGAGTGTGAGACGGTCACAACCTAATTTTTAAGTGAATAAGTTGATATAAAAACAAAGTTAGTACGAAATTTAACGTTGAATTAAATTTGCTTTTTTGAAAATTTTAACTTTGATAAATGCAAAATTAATCAACTTATTCAAGTGATATTTAAATTTTTAAATAAAGATTATATTTTAGAACTGTCGGAATGTATGTAGAGTATGGAGCAGTGGGCGGCTACTGCGGCCAGTCCTCGGCGCCCGCGCTGGGCGTTGGCGACGCTGTGGGATAGATTTGAAATGTTTATTTGTGTTCAAGAGAATTTTTATTTAACAACTTTTATGTAAATTAATTTAAATGCTCCCGATTGAATGATCACAGGGCCTATGTACGCTGCACACAAGATAATATAACGGGGATCTGTTTGCAGAAGAGTACAGTCGTTACTCTTAACGACTTGTGTAGTTACCGCTAATACAACATTTAAGAAATTAGTCTTAATTCTTGACCCAACCAGGGACTCGAACCCTGAGTTTGAGTTTCCTCGACCTAAATACATGAAGGCATTCGCTTGGGAAACTGTCAAGCGAGATGAAATCCCGGGTCTTGCACCTCAAGATATTTTCATGTGCGAATCATTTCCAACATCATTACCATTTATTTATTCACAGTGAAGGAAAACATCGTGAGGAAACCTTCAATATGCTCAGTCCGCCCGCACTTGGCCAGCGTGGTGGACTATGGCCTGATCCCGATCGTATTGAAGGCAGGCCCGTGCCCAGCAGTGGGACGTTAAGGGCTGAATACACGCAGACATACACAAATCATGAAAGCGTGCAGGTCTCACCGTCGCTGGCGGCGGGCGCGGCGGCGGCGGGCAGCGCCTTGGAGTTGCGCATGAGCGGCTTGTGCGCGTCGCGCTCGCCCGCGTGCTGCCACGCCCAGCACGACCGGCAGAAGTATCTGACGCATACATATACGATGAGAAATAGACATTATGGCAACGAGATAGATACGAGATAGATATATGAGCGAGCGAGTTAATGAGGGAACAATTTAAACGGAAGGATTAGATAATAGTGGGAATGAGATAGATATGCGAGAGAGTGAGCTAAAGAAAGAACGACTGAACTAGAAAGGGGAGGATAAGGTAGTAGATAGTGAGAATGAGATAGAATGAGTGTTAATGAGGGAACGAGTGAAGCGGCTATATATATATATATGTATATATAGCAGAGGAGACGAGAAAGAAGTTATACTTTTTTAATTAAACTTATCTACCCAAAGGATGTGTACCGATTTCTATTCCTGGGCCCTACACATCTCGATCAATGTGTCTTCAATACTCGACAATGTCATTTAAATATAAGTCAAATTAACTTTATTAATATATTGTATTAAGATTGCGCTTACCTAAAGCAAACTGGTTCGCGACAAAAGTAAGGTCCTTGTTGCAAGTTGCACACAGAGCACATAGAGTCTTCCAAATATGGGTCTACTTGCACCTGCAATTAAAAATAGCATAGCAGTCGATTTTATATATTCTGTAATTTTCGATCCAAAGTACCCTTTTGTTAGTGATACTGTTAATAAATTTTCAAATAAGATTTAATACCAAGGATCGTTTCGTACCTCACATTATATGTAGTAGGTACATAGTAAGTTACATTACGCTATTATAATAATAATAGTATGTACGTGAAATACCATATATATATTAAATACGAAGTCATGACCTGCAAGGAACATTTTAATTCGATTTCTCTTACACAACTCTAAATTTAAAATATTTAACTACTATACTGAGTTACAATGTTGTTCCTTGCATCCTTTTTTGATCTCAATACATAATAGTTCATGTATAGATTGATTGTGTCTAGATTTAAGTCTGCAATATCAAGGAAAATGAAATATTTTAAAAATATGTAAACTCGCCTTCTTTGTGAATTTGTTAGTGCTTATCTCAACGTAGGCGGCGGAGATGGCGCGCACGTACGAGCGCACGTTGTTGAAGGTGACGCGCCCGGATCCGATCGGGTATTTGTTTTTGTCAGTGTCTATACCTGAAGCAAGGGTTATTCACTATATCTTGGTTTCGTAAAAATTATACATTATCCATGGAACCTTAATTATAAAGGAACACTGATAAACATGCAAATTTATTTGAAAGTGTGGATTTATAAGCATGAATAGGCCTCATTTTTACAGACTACAACCGATATTATGCAATCTGTGATATAAGTAAGTTGTAAGTTCTACTGTGGTATAAAGAGATTTCCAGAGGTCTCAACTATCTTACCAAATGATATTTATATCTGGTTCAGTAGATCCAGAGATTACCCCCTACAACGTTGGCCACTCACCCGCATAGACCACGCCGTCGAATAGGTCGTTCATGATGGTGGCGAGCGCGGAGGCGGACAGCATGCCGTGCAGCGCGCCCACGAACACCGTGCGCGCCGGCTCCAGCCGCACCGACCCGCCCGCGCCCGCGCCCGCGCCCGCGCCCACCCAGTTGGAGTCCGCCACCGCCCACGGGATCACTTGCACCTGCACACGTTATATATGTACAGCCTCATTTTTTATTTACTGAAGACCTTTTGAAAATGTACTATTTACATCATAATAACAATACGTCTTTAAATGAATAAGCGCCGCCTCCACACCCCTCCACCCCTCCCACTTCACCGGCCACGCGCTTTCTTTTGCTATCATTACCGCTTAGAATGTGAAAAAAATAAATACATATAATATATATATATATATATATATATATATATATATATATATATATATATATATATATATATTTACAAAATACATTAAAAATATTTTCGGGAGATTATATCACTGCCTGGTCAATTTTAAAATTTTATATTATTTGTTCAATTATCTATACATATAAAAAAATTCTAACCGAGTGAAATCTGTACATTAAACACTTTTTGAATTTTTTTATTGAAATAGACATTATCGATACATAGGATCCATAGTTTTTTTGTCTGTCTGTGACCACATCACGAGGAAACCACTGAAACCAGACATCAGATATTGATGAAATTTGGTTATGATTATAGCTGGTTATCTTGATCGGGCTAATTTTTACTGCGGGAAAATTATCTCATCTCTGAAAAATCTTACTAAAACTAATCGTAGTAATAAAGCAAGTGTGCACCTCCTTGGTGCGCATGTTGCGCGAGGCGACGCGGTAGTACCAGTCGGCGCCGTCGCGGCGCGCGGCCGCCAGCAGCGCGCGCACGCGGCGCTCGCTCTCCAGCGTCACGTACGCGCAGCCGCGCGCGCCCTCCGCGCCCGCGCCGCCCCCGCGCCGCCGCGGCCACTCCACGCTGCCGACACTTCCATGGTAAGCTACGAGGCTTGTGTTATGGATACCAGGTACTAGATACACTACACATAACTAAATACATACATATTATAAATATAAACAAATTCAATTCAAAGTAATCTTAAGCAAAGTTAGACGGTACTACAAAGCGTATCATTAAAATTCACATTTAAACATATTTATTAATTTTAAATTAGTAAGTATCATTAAAATGTATATTATGAATTCCGTATTATTACGTTTAAAATAAGTACCTACAGATTATTTCAGAATAATTTATTATAAAAAATCAAAAATTGTAAAAAACTGGCAACCCGCGTAATGTCAGTTGTCTCCGAGTTTAAAAAACAGACTATAGGTCGTTCGCGATTTACCCAGCAAAACTATCAGGTGATGTAACGATGTAACAGAGGCATACCGTACGGGCTGGAAGTGCCGCAGCGCGTGCATGAGCGCCTGCTCGCCGATGTCATAGGGCAGGCCGCCCAGGAACACCTTGGGCGAGAAGCTGCCGGCGGGGTCGAGGCAGCGCGCCGGCAGCGTGCCCGACCAGTGCGCCGCGTCGCGGGACGGCACCACGCCACCTAACGACCATATTTAATTCACTACATAGTATAAAACAAAGTCGCTTCCCGCCGCAGTCTATCTGTCTCTATGTATGCTTACATCTTTAAAACTAAGCAACGGATTTTGATGCAGTTTTCAATGGATATAGTGATTGAAGAGGAAGGTTTGGTAGGTATATAAATTGTTAAGTAAATAACTGCCTCGGTGGTGTAGTGGCTAGCATGTACGGCTGCACACCCGGAGGTCCTGGGTTCGAGTCCCGGGTCGGGCCAAGTTTAGTTATTGAGTCTTCCTGTATAGTCTCAGTAACAGCCCGGAGTTGGGAAGTTGGCGGTGTTTCACCCCCGTGCCTCGGAGAGCACGTAAAGCCGTCGGTCCTGCGCCTTAACTCTCACCGGTCGTGTCGAGTTGTCGTCCCACCGGAGTACGAGAGTGATAGGAATAGTGAGTGCACTTGTGTCTGCGCGTACACTTGAGCACTATAATATCTCCTGCGCAGTTGGCTAATCTCAATGAGATTGGCCGCCGTAGCCGGAATCGGCTAAGAGAACATCATCATCATCAAATTGTTAAGTGTTTGAATACATTGGATAAAATATAACGATATTTGTTGGAGGTGTCGGAAAAAATAAGACGTCTGGAACTTTCAACGACAACGCATATCACGTATTAACGCATAGGTATAACTTATTTATTCTGATTTTTCGCAGACGTATTTTGATTTTTGATGTGCCAACATTCGAAACGTCGGGACCCAAAAATCAATAAACCTGCGAAAAAACATGGGATATTAAGCATAGTGTTTTGTCATCCTTTTCTTGTTCATAAAGATTATTAATCAATTATTTCGGCATGAATACGTCAAAATAATTAAATACCTATAATATAAAATATATTTTTTATAATGGCCGATTAAAAACTTGAGCTATATAAATTCTTCATTGCTGGGTTAACTTACAAAATGAAGCACGGCGTGGCAAAACACGGTTCTCCTCGCGATTGTGTGCGCGGGCGCCTTCGGGCGGCCAGGGAGTGTCCGTCTAAGTAAATAAATAAACGGTTAATTAATTTGTTCCAATGTAATTATTGCTCGTAGATAATTTATTAACGATTAACTTTTGTTTATCACCTGTATGCCCCCCGGGGATGAAAAACAATGTTACCCAATCGAAACCCTTATTAGACTTCTAATTTTTTCATAATATCTTGCACTTAACCAAGGAAACTATTCAATAGGGAGCAACTATTGTGAATTCGGACTACAACTTGTTAGAAGTAAAGCTACACAATATAAATTAATAAAAAAAAAACCATTCTTACAGATTCTAGTGCATCGCAACTAAGCCGAGTCTGGTAGGCGTTGTTAGTGCGCGCGCTCGCCGCCGGAGGCATCGCCAGGGCCTTCTGAAACATGCACCTTACTGTACACATCACAATGATAAATGCTTTAAAATATTGCCAATCTTACTACGATTATTTATGAAACACTTTAAGGGTAATTAAAGGATGTTTATAAAGAAGGACTTTTAGCTTATTTCTGCAGTTTGAAGCAAAGATCGCATAAATACAATTAATGCAAATAATTTTTTTTTTATAGCCAATAAGAACGCACTAGAAAACTTTTCAAATTTTTGAACCTGCGGAAATTAAACTAGCCTCAGTATTTGGCAAATCAGGCAGTGCCACTAATCGTAAGACTTGTGCAAAAAAATTCAACCATAGCGCTTTACTTAAAACCGCACTTATAATTTTAGAGCAAGAAATCACATCTGTTAAACTTACTGCGAATTTAACAAAGACTTAACTAAAACTACGTGTAGAAGTCAGTTCCGGAAAATTAATTTATGAAAATTGTTGAAAATTTATAAGTATAAAAGGTATATATAAAACAGATCCTTACTAAAGATGCTACAAGGTCGGTTATCCCTTGGCCGGGGTTGTCCCAGCCGCCCGGTCTCGCGCTCTCGCTGTAACAAAGGTCTCCTAATTACCTAATAATGGTGCGTTATTTTCTCGCTAGGGGAATTAGATATGATAGATGACAACTGTTGGTAAAATACTGTTTTTTCTAAATTGAAACTCAAAATGCTGTTTTTTTTGTATGACGACACGTTTGGCTCAGTTTGTTGTGACCCTACTTGCTGCGCCAGCGGTCGCGGGTTCGAGTCCCGCTGAGGGCATTCATCTGTGTGATGAGCACGAATATTTGTACTCTAGTCATGGGCGTTTATATTTATAATATGTATGTATTTAAAAGTTATACATGTATAATGTATCAACTATCTTGTATCCATAACACAAGCCTCGTAGCTTACCATGGAACTACATGGTGTTGTGTGTTAATGTCCTGACATATGTATATCTATTTATATTGTTTAATGAAATTGTAGGTTAGTGGTAAAAACGTAAGTGTTATATGAATACAGTAGCCTACATATTATCTCCAGAACAGTCTTATCTATTCTCGTCCAAATCTCAATTGAATTCGTATCTCAAAGGAATTACTCTAGGCCATAGTCCATTTGTACTAATTTTCATCCAAATCGGTCTAGCAGTTTCAGTATAAAAGGATAACAAACAAACGTCTGTATGTTTCACATATACATATATGTTAAATTTTGCATTTTAATAGTAGCCCGATTAGAATACTCACCTGTAACTCGCGTAAGCAGTGGGATGTCGCGGTGGGAAGCACGTAGATGGGACCAGCGAGCGCGGAGTTTGCCCTGCTTCTGGACTGCTAGGAGTCTCCCATCGCCACTCATTTTCCCCACCCTCCTGAAGAAATAGAGCTACTAAATATGGCTGGTCGTATAACTAAATAGTGTTAATATAGCATAACCAAGTAATAACTGAACACATGCAGATTACAACAGAAATACGTAAGAAATATTGAAATCCTTAATATGTACTCCAACCCTAATTAGATCTATGCATAGAACATATTTTAGCCTATTTACAAGGAAATTAGGTTATAAAATAAAACTGGATATAAATTATATAGGAAAGTGACAATATATTATGCTAATAAAGCTCGTCTAGACTGACGCAACATACTCTTACATTGATGAATATAACTATTCATAAATAGATTCCGATGTGTTCGTTCTCCATCATTAGATTTTGGATTAGAGCTGATACTCTTACACTGCTGGATCGATATTAACCAAACAGTTAAGAACCACCGCAAGGGAACTGGCTTTCAAATGAAAAAACCGCATCGAAATCGGTCTATCCGTTTGAGAGTTACGATGCCACAGACACACGGACAGACATCGACGTCAAGCTTATAACACTCCTCTTTTTGCGTCGGGGGTAAAAAAATATCTCTTAGCGTCGGGGGTAATAAAATCTCTTTTTGCGTCGGGGGTAAAAATATATAAGGACGTTATGTGTCAAAAGTTGAAGAAAAACATGTTAGTACGATATTGAAAAGGTTAGTTTTGAGCATTATCTTAAAATTCTATAAAAACGAAAATTTTTCATATTCATTCTAGTATACAATCGAAGTAGTTTCCAGAGTTGCGATTAAGCCGGAACGCTGGCATGAGCCTACAAAAATAATATTAAATCGTCCGCTCCTGCCAATAGCCGGTTCGGCAGACGTCTGCCAAATAAGAGATACAAAAGTTGCAACTTTCAAGGCGACTCTATTAAGTGCTGGCACAACTGTCGATAGATTGTTTACTCTTAAAAGAACCGATCAACGCGTTTAACGGTACTCGACTCTGAATATTTGGTTGGCAGCGCATCAATAATGAAAGAAAAAGTTGTCAATAGAAGGCAATAGTGCAATTTCCGTAAAATTTGAATTTTAAGATTTTAAATCAATAAGTTTAGTTTAGGAAATTTTATACAAAAACTTAGGCCATTCATTATACATAATTGGCTACGCTTAGTTTTCCTAGTAACAGGTAGTCTCGATCTGGATGAGTTATTAGCGTCTAGTAATGGAGACCCTCTAAGCCTTCGACATTAGAACACCGTATACAGTATTTATGGCTTAAGAAGTATATTAGGGGGCTAGAGGTTATTGCGGACAGAAATTTAAAAGGTTAAGCATAAGCATACATATATTTTGAAAATTTGTTCTTTACCCTTAAGAATATATTTTACGAGCAAGTTTAAATATGTTACGATAGAATTTTAAAGCGACAAAATAAAGATAAGTTTTTAAAATAAACAATATTCTGTATGTAAACTTAGCATTAATTCAATAGATAAGTTAGGTGTCTAGTGCTATAATACGTGTGATTATTTTTAATAAGGCATATTTGTAGAGTAGACTTAAGTTCAAAATTAAGAGTTTATTTTAAGATATGACGTTAAAATGGACGATAATATTTGATTAGAGATATAAATGGAATATCAGAATCAATCAAAGATAGAAATAGCGCGCATGCTGAAGCGTTAAATTAGGTCGAAGCAGTAATTAGGAAACTACCTTCGCCCTGGAGCACCGATTACTTGCCGGAAGTGACGGATTACAGATTAATATTTGCCGTGAGATTGGCAAGAAAATTCAATATGTATTCGAATTTTCAACAGTAAGTAAATTTTAGTAAAGCAATTTTTTTCCACATCTGAGTAACAGAAATAATTTATATGGGTCTGTATACAGCTGAATCATCGTACACTATACGAATCTTACAATGTGTTACGAGAAAAATCAATGAATTCTTAAATAGAAAAGCGGGTAACGAATAATTTAGGTCAGATATCCTAAAAATACTAGTAATGTAGTATAATATGTGTTTAGTTTATTTTATACTAGCAGAACCCGCGGCTTCGCTCGCGCTAAAACTACAAAAAACTAAAAAAGTAGGTTTCATACAAACTTTCATTCCCTATTTTACCCCCGCATTTATAGCAAGTTTCAAGTAATTCTGATCATAAATAATTTTTAGGTTGCATTATACAGCGTTTTCCCGTGGGAATGATATAATTTCCCACGATAAAAAGTAGCCTATGTCACTGTCTAGCCCTTCAACTATCTCCATACAAAAAATCACGTCTATCCGTCAATCCGTTTCGACGTGAAAAAAGGACAAACAAACACTTTCACAGTTACATATAATAGTAGTATGGATATCAATATAATTTCAATTTAATAGTACTAGAAATAATATTTGAAAGCATTTACAGAAATAGAATTGGCGCCATTATGAAGTACATACAATAAATCAGTGGGTATGAACATTTTGATCGGGAAGGCTATTAAAAGAGATTGTATTACTGCACTTAAAGGACGGGTAGTTGGCAATTTTAAGATGCAAGTGGGATTTAACGTTTAAAAAGATTTGTCGATTTGTCGCGGCACTGAGACTGGAGGCAATTATATTAGTGTCCTATTTACTTACTAATGTATTTTTACTGGTATGGTTTCACTATTACGGATCTTCAACGGGAATTTAATATTTGTTACTATAACAAGTTACGAAATAAAATTCACATTAGTTATTATTGATAATAGTACAATTGTTCATTAATGGATGTAACGTTGTTCAATTGAACGTTTAATAAATTATGGTTTGGTTGCGAAAATCGCTTTTGGTTTAAACATTACTACGCCAAAACTAGATTATCGCTATATTTCAAATAAAATGAATATTCATGGCTATAATTTTTAAAGTTGGCAGAGAACTAAATTCCCAGAAATAAATAGTTACGAATTTGAAATAATTTATCGAGAAAATCTCCTCGATTTTGTATTTTTATTTCCGGTTAAGGTCATGGACGTTTCCTTAAAGTTCGAAACTGTACAGACTAAGCACGAAAGCCCGATTTTAAACTTTCGAGTGCAATGTATATACGAGATTAAGAAATTCAGAAATCCGGGGCTAATGCAAGCCGCCTGGTCGCGGGTGCATTACTTGGCACGGCGCGCCCATTAATAGGGGAGCTGGCAGCAGTCTCTCGAACATTAACTGCCATCAAAACGGATGTCGTACGGACATTATGAACGGACAATAAAACTGTCGAGTGCTTTGTACTCAAATATCGAGCCTTGAGGCTTTCAAGTGCATTAAGTGGGACGTTTGTATGATGCACCGAGATTAGGCGGTTTATGATATTAATAAATAACGTAATAAGAATTTTATAAAGCAAGTCTAAACTAAACGACTCACTTTTAATTTAATTATTTGGCGCCCAGCGTGGGACCTCTTCTCCGAAGGCAAATTATATACCAAGATTAATCTTAGAATTTAAACTGCTGTTTATTATGAAAAAGCTACAAAAGTTCGACATTACGGCACGATATGTCTGTTGCAATCGTAGAGCAATTTCAGATACACATCTCTGAACGACTAGACGGCATTATTACCCACGTAATGGACATAGAAGTTGAGAAGTAAATTCGTAAAATAACAAATAAAAGCAATTATGTTAATCAGATGGAAAGGCGGATGTATTGAAAACGTAAGTACTCACGTTATCTCTCGTAGTTTTCGGGGCCGCAGCTTCAGCAAGCTGAGTAGTATCAAGACCCAAAAACTCTGCTAGCGAGCGACGGTTCTCACGCGAACCGCCGCCACCGCGACTGTTATCCTAAGAACAAAAGTCCGTTAAAACTTAAAAATTTCCTTACTAGGAATAATATAAACTAAAAAATAATTAAATCATGCTACGAAAGTTATTTACAAAAGATAATATAATAAATAGCCGAATATTAAATTATAAAATAAATAAAAAGAGGGTAGTCATATACTAATGTTTAAATTGTAACGGTTAAACAAATGTTTGTATTGCGGGTAGTCGAAATTATGAAACATTTTACTAATATTTAGAAATTATAGAAACAGATTGAAAATTAACACAATACGAAATAAAGTACAAAATAACTCACCCGGTGTAAAAGCGGCATAAGTGCCGCTAAAAAGTTTCGTGAAGTTCGACGTGTCACGTGGTCCAGTACCGGTTCAGAGGTCTTGCCCGTTCGGCAGCCCAACGCCAACTGTAGGCGGTAACGTGCGCAGCGACGCACGAAGCCGAGACTCACCCCTCCACTAATGGCTACATTGTGAGGATAGCACCACTAGTGGCAAAGCCACACCCCTTTATACAAACTTTTTATTTATTTTATTGAATTAATAATATTTTTTTATGTAAGTATTAAATAATTTTATATTTTAGGAAAATTAATGATTTTATATTACAGTTATTACACTTTTAAAGCAAAGAAATTAGGTTAAAAGTAAATTTGATTTCCCGCCTAGCATTGTCATTGGTCAAATATGGCGCATGCGCTTTTCTGTCAAGTTCGAAACTTATAAAGTTTTAAATAGTTGATATTATTATTTTTTAATTATAAAATTTAAAATATAATTACTTTAGTATGAGTTAGTTCTCAGATATTAGCATAGTTAAAAATGTATAAAATGTTTATTTTGTATGATGTTAAATTGATTTTGTTAACTATATTTAAAAAAAATATTTTCAATTAAATTTTTATATGTATACTTCCGGTCCAAAAAGTACAGTTATTGACTACAAAATTTATTTCCTGTGAGATTCAAATGTAAAACTTATAATGAAGGAAAAAGGAATCAAGAAAAATAACACAACACTTATTATTATTCATAGTTTATTAAGAATTTATTTTTAATTTTCTATAAACACATAATAATATAATATAAAAAGTATATTAGAGCTAAAATCAGTTTACATATTGAGGGATGTTTCAACTGATTTATTATAACATCTCTTAGTCACACTTCATAAGTCTTCTTTAACATTTGGGAATATTTTAGCCAGACTAATAGTAATATTAAAATATTAATAGCTTTACGAAAGTGTATAATCATTTAATTTAATAAATCATACAGAAATACAGTACCAATCTTACTATATTAATAGAACTTTCGTATGTCCAATAATGGATTTATTGGAGATATGAAAGAGACAAAGACAAACATGCTGGCGGCGATCACAATAGACCAGAAATGGTCGCAGTGATATAAAAAAGCCGCCAAACAGAAATAAAAAAAAAAAAAAACATTCAGACCTATGTTTATTGACAATTCTTTAGAACATGTTTCCATTTACTGTACTCACTTATTTTTTTGTCATAAAGCTAAGTTGACCAACTGCGAATCGATTGATAATATTCGCAAATATAACATACTAGCGACTCACCCTCTCACTTACCCTCTGGTTCATCCCTAGGTGATTCTTTAAATTGAAAGCAAATATTAAATGTTAAGTGAATACCACAATACATTAGTGAAAGCCGCACCCAAATTGGTTAAGCAATTTCTGAGATTAGCGCGCACAAACGCACAGAAAAACAGACAAAAAAATCATTGTTTTCGGTTCTATAACGGTACATAATCAATCAATTATTAAATTGATTATTATTGTAAAGCTAGCAAGGCAAAGTGAGCATAATCGCTTAAAACTAAGCGCATAAATTAGTGCTAATTTAGTGCCAAAACCTAAAATTTGATGCTCTTATATTTTGGCACAAAATTAGAAAACTGCTAGCTTTTAGTTAAGCTATCAGTGTTACTGCCTATTGCGCTAACCGCATGACACAGCGTCAAATCAATCTAGCATTAATTTTGTGCTCAATTAGTGCTGGCCATCCACGAAGACAAATATAAATTTTCTGCCAAAATATAAGAGCATCAAAATTTACGTTTTAAGCGATTCTGCTCATTTTGCCTTGGTAGCTTTATATACATCCAAATTGGCATTATAAATATAATTTTCAAAACTTCAATTTGCTTTTGCAAACTTACGATCAATACAAGCAGAATAATATAAAACCAGTTTACATCATACTTTCTTAGATTTACGCTAATATTTGACATTATAAATAAAACTATCTTTTCGGATAATTTCGCCGATTTATTTCGATTTTTGGTTCCCGACGTTTCGAATGATTTACAGCAATCATGGTCACGGGAGAGACTAAGGTTTTAGACGTCTCAAAGGCGTTATATACTTGTTACAGTCTATAACAACAATAGTTTTATTTAAAAATCAGTCCACTTTATTAGTGCCTCCAGCACTCGTAAAACTCACTAAACTTGTAAAAGTGCGCATGACCAGATCCAAATCAACATTGCACATAAAATCATGAATTCGTATAATTTTTATTTTCAACATATCGTTGTATTCCGTACTTTTATAACGTCCCACTGCTGTTCGTGGACCTCATTTCAATACGAGGGGGATCAGGCCATAGTCCACCACGCTGGCCAAGTGCGAGCGGACTTATCGTGTCTTTCGAAAACTTAAAGTTCTCTCAGACATGTAGGTTTCCTTTACCGTAAGACAAATGGTTATCTTGTTGGAAATGATTCGCACATGAAAATATCAGAGATGCGATACCGGGATTTAAACTTGCTTCACTCGGTTTTTAGAATTTTAACCATATAATTATGAATCATATATTGAACTATTATTATAAATGCGAGTTTCTACGAGTATATATTAGTGTGTATGTCACACACACAAAGCAATTAGAGGGATTTGGAAAAGTTTAGTACACAAATGAGACTATGACCTGGAGTATCACATAGGTCAACGTTCGACATTTAGGACGGGCCCAAATCGAAGCCAAGGTAAGTCACTACTAGTGTGTGATACTTAAATAAATTTAATTCTATAAAAAATATCAAATTTCGACCAATTTAACTTATATATGTAACTTAATATAATTAAGATATTATACCTCTATCGATGTCATAGATATAGATAGATAGCACATAAGCTACTAGGCAGCTAGGGACACTTATAAGCCACGAGTGATCATATAAACTGTTATAAGTTGCTTAATCCCATGGGATCATTATCCCGCGGGATTACTCCTGCAGGCCGAAGAGCGGCGGGATGAGGGTGCCGGGATGGTGGTGCGGGAGCACGCCGCGCTCGTCTGCGTACACGTACGGGAAGCGCAGGATCCAGTACGTGGAGGCCGACAGTTTGATGGGAGGCTCACCCGCCGGCTGCGGGACGAAGATCGGGCCCCCTGGGACTGGTTGCACCTGGATGTATTTGACAATTTTGAATTATATTTACATAGTAGTAAGTACTGAGAATAAAAAAGAATTTCAAATTGTATTGTGCCCAATTAATAGCAGACACTGCAGCGACTACAAGTCTAACAAGTTACAAGTTGGTGTGAATATAACTCATGGGCATACTATAATTATGTCTTACTCTGATGTATAAACTATGTTACGATAAAATTCTTCAAAATTCGTTCAATTTTTTTTGCGTGAATACAACAACACAAATTATATTTTTTTGTGAATATATTTAATAAATACATTATTTAATTTCTGACAGGAAGTATTATTTACTGTCACAAATTATAATAAGGAAAAAGTTGAAGTCGGAAAAAAACTAGCTGTTGAGTTGCCGGCTACTGTTGGCACCTATAGTTCATTCGCGGTAACAAAATAGTGAGTCATCAAGCGCAACAGCAGGTAAAGGTGTATACAGTGGGAGTAAAAATTCAATTCGAATTCAATATTTTAAAAGATTAAGTTTAATGGATAAAAATCAATTTATTTGAGATGATAATGACTTTATTTTGATTTGAGATAATTAATGAACATAATTATCTCAAATATAAATAAGGTCATTAATAATATGTTTAAGTGTGCCTTGAACTGGTCATTGTAAAATATGACTTTATAATTTTATGCAATTTAATTGGTCGGGGGGCGTGGCTAGGCCGGTGGACACCGCCGACTCACTATTTTTTAACGCGTATGAACTAATAATAGACACGCACCTTGGGGTCGAGGGTGACGTGCACGGGCGCCTTGGGCGTGACGACGTGCAGGCGCGCGAGGCGGGCGGCGTGGGCGGCGGGGCGCGCGGCGGGTCGGGCGGCGAGGGCGGGCGGCGGCGCGCGGCACAGGCAGGGCGCGCGCAGCGGCATGGCGGCGGCGGCCAGGCGCGCGCCCGCCGCACCCGCGTCGCGCGCCCACGCGCTCGACCCGCCGTTCACCACCGTGTCCGGGGATGACATCATCAGCCTGCAACCGTGCGCTCTAATTTAGATATAAAGGAAACGTCTCTCACGTGACCGTGTTTGCTATGAAACATTCGAAGCTTCGAGAACAAAAAAACTTGTTAAAAGCTTTCCATCCGTTTCGGAGATTAGTCGGAACAAACAGACAGAAAGACAAAAATTTAAAAATTGTGTGTTTTCTTATAAGTACCATATATAATTTCGTATAAATTTAGTAAAAAGCTGTCATTTTGATATTACAAACAGACACTTCAATTTTATTTATCTGTGTAGATTAACAAATGTAATAAATATATCTCAAAATATATATTATGGTTTAAAAAAAAAGTAAGCGAAGGAAAACGAAGTCATACGTACGTATGAAATAATCATATAATCAAATTTACGTAATTTTACTAATTATTGATTAATCTGCAATTTTTTGAAAAATAATTGAAAAAAAAAGGTTTTATAGTGCATATTCACAGATGGCGCTATAATTTTTTTTGAGATCTTTACCACAGTTAAAAACTGTTATAGTCATGAAAACTTAGGGTGGACTAATTTCAGTTAATTTGTGACAATTTTAAGACTTTTTTTTTCTTTTAAATTTTACTACATAACTTTTATCATACATCTAAAACAATTATCTCTGCCTAAGAATTAATTATTGTAATTTAAAAAAATGTAATAATATAATATGTTGGGACATCAAAGTAGCTTAAACTCTTTTAATAATTGTACTACAATAAATTTTTAAATTCATTTTATAAAAAAATCATAAAGGTAGTAGGTACCTACCTACTTATTATAAAAAAAAAATCTTTACAAACCTGTGTCCTCTAGGACATTCATATTCAAATCCGATAAATATCTTCACAGTCAAGTTATGTGTGGGGGTTTTCCTCGCTCTCGCCCTCCAAGCGTCCATCCTGACCGCACAGTCCCAGGGTAGCAAGTAATTTGTATGAGGAAGAAACCCTGGCTGCAGGTGTTCAGGCAGTCCTGCACTGTGGGAGTACAGGGAAGATGCTCCCAAGCACACTAAAGACCAGCTCGGGAAGGCCGGTAAGAGGTTAGCCGGGCTGGCAGTGTGCAGCATCCCTGGTAAGTACTCTGTTGTTGACGGTTGACGGCTTATTGATTTTTCTGTAAGAAAAAATGGATAATTAGTAACCAAATAATTGGTGAAATCATTCAATTTATTATGTTGAATTGAATGAATTTTATTTGTTATGTGGTGTGCGTTAGTTCGAATTTGTGATTCGACAATTATTACAACTTTCGATTTTTGAATTTTATTCTTTGGTTTGACTTAACGTGACATGTCGACGCTACTTTTTGAAGAAATATTGGTTAGAAAATGTGTATCTATGTTTTTATATATCAATGTGCGCTATATAGATATTTATTGTCAACCCTTTCTACTTTTGAAAGCATTTCATTCTATAAATTTGAAATTTGACAGTATTCCATTCTTTTCATAAGCTATGACCTACTGTATGGATTTTTATATATCTATTCTATACAGATAAATAAAATTGAAGTGTCTGTTTGTAATGTCAAAATAACTGCGTTTTACTAAATGCATATAAAATTATATGCGGTACTTATGGGAAAAACCCAATATTTAAAATTTTTGTCTATCTGTTTGTTTGTTCCGGATAATCTCTGAAACGGCTGGACTGATTTTGACGGGGCTTTCACTGGAAGATGTTATAGGGAATAACATAGGCTACTTTCATTTTAGAAAAAAAATAGGGTTTCGATTAAAAAAATTAAATCGTACCTAGGGACGAACCCGAGCGAAGCGAGGGTGAGTCGCTAGTTAGTAATAGAATTCAACTATAAACACAACATATATCGATTACCTGAGCTAGTACCCTGCACGGTGACCACCTCTATGCCGTCCTCGCTGCAGGCGGCCGGCTCGTCCTCGTCCTCGTCGCGCGCGGAGCCCGGGGACAGCTCGTCGGGCGGCGTCCAGGAGCGCGACTGCGGGGATGTCAGCGCCGCGGGGGACTCCTCCGGTTCTTTAACTTCTGACCCCTCCACTGGTTCCTCTGTTGAGCCTTTCACTGATGCTGCCCTGGAAGTAAATTTGTTAAATTATATTATTACATACTATTAAAAATAAAAAGTCTCGTTTTAGATTTGGCCGTAGCTTCCTGCGAATGAATGTGCGACCTTTTGTGATTTAAATAGAAAAAAAAACAACTATCATTATACAAAAACTACACAAATCAAAACCTTTTGCAGGAACTCTGGCCTATGGAGTTGAAGTGCTAAAAACTTAAAAAAAAACACCTCGCGTTATCACCTACTAGATGACAAGAACACTCGTATTCCTAAAGTCGGTATTGCCAATGGCATTCTTGCTACAAATCCACGTCAACATTTGTTTTCTATATAATTGAGTATCCATATTTATAATTTAACTATATTTTCTTTCAACATAAAAATACATAGTACATTTTAATGAAAACCTTAAAATGTAGCTGTACCTGAAACAAGATCTACTAGAAACTATACACTCACCTAAAACTAGGTGTAGAAGGTTGGAAAACAGGAAAGTCGATGGCCTGCAGCGTGGCGCACACGCCGCACTCGTCCGCCGCGTAGCTGTAGAAGCCGTGGTTGGCCTTCTTCACGGTGTAGGGGTCGTCGCGCGGGCACTTGGTGCGCCCGCAGTTGCACGCGCTGATGTAGCGTACGCCCGACGAGTGCTCCTTGGAGCTGTCACTGTTGGATATTAAATTAATAAATATGTTGGGACATTAACACACGACACCATCTAGTTCCATGGTAAGCTACGAAGCCTGTGTTATGGATACCATATAGTTGATACACTACATATATATATATATATATATATATATATATATATATATATATATATATATATATATATATTGCTTTGTATGGGCTGGCACCGATTTCGAAAATATTTGATTAGGTATGTATAGTAAATGAAAACTACCAATCAGTTATTTTTTAACTTTAGTGCTTTTGTTTGAAGTCGGTTTTTATTTTTCCCTTTTTAGTGTAGACGGTAGTAGCAAAGTAAGAATTCTAACGTAACACGTTTGCTTGTAAAATCAAACAAAATAAGCTCAAACTCAAAGTATCTACTATTAGCCGTTGAAGAGTTCCACCTATCCACCTTCTGGCCGTACCATCAGATCAGGTAAACAATACCGAACCACTGTACTATGAAGTCGGTTAAAAATCTGAGACCCTGGAAAGGACATAGGAAACTTTTTATCCCGGAAGTAATCGCTTAAGGGGGTGAAAATGGGGATGAAAGTTTGTGTTGGGAAGCAAGCCAGGGATGAACCCGAGCGAAGCGAGGGTGAGTCGCTAGTATTCGAAATAAAACTTTGTTTTTAAAACAGAAATAAAACTGTCTACTGTAAAGTACACAAGTATTGGTCGTATGAGCAAACAAGCACTGACTGCTGCGGGTGCACGCAGGGGTGCGCGGTGAGCGAGGGCGCCTCGCACAGGCGGCGCGCGCGCCACGCCGCGGCGCAGGCGGCCCGCAGCCGCGCGCGCCCCGCCGCCGCCAGCGGCCCGCGCGCCATCGCCTCCGCCACGCCCAGCGCCACGCTCACCTGGCATGTGTTCGACACTTTTTGAAGTGAAATTTACATTTTAAATAAAACTATCATTTCGGATTTTTTCACGGATTTATTTTTATATTCCATATTCAATTATAAAACTAATTCAAATTATAAAAATGTTTGAAATTATAAAATATTGTAAGGTATAATTTGGTGCCATTTTTCAATTTTTTGAATTCATTTTGTTATTTGTGGGTAGGCTGTCTGTAACAACTATAATATAATACCTTTCAGACATCTAAAACCTCTTCCGTGAACCATGATTACTTTAAAGCATTCGAAACGCGTCGGGAACAAAAAATAAAAATAAATCCGCCAAAAAATGCGAAAAGATAGATTTATTTAAAATGTCAAATATTCGTGTAAATCTAAGTAAGTATAAAGTAAAATTAAATTAAACTTTATTTAAATAGAATGATTATAACTTATAAGCACTTTTAAATCGTCAATTTAGTTTAAAGAGCGTTAGTGTAATCTACCACCGGCTCGGAAAGCAGTTCACTTCTGCTGAAAAGAGCGGGCGAGAAACTCAACAACTTTTAACGTCCCACTGCTGGGCACTGACCTTACGAGGGTCAGACCATAGTCCACCATACTGGCTAAGTGCGGGCGGACGGAGCAAGTAATTCTAAAACTTGCTAGGTTCTTTCAGACATGCAGTTTTCCTCACGATGTATTCATTTACCGTAAGACAAGTGGTTAACATATTGGAAAATTATTAGCTCATGAAAACATAAGAGGTGCAAGATCCGTGATTTGAACTCGTTTTATTCGGTTTCCCAAGCGAGCGCGTTACCACCATCCTACCGTTGCCTTATTATTTTGGGTATATGTATTTTATTACGAAAATATTTAGGATTCCAGCGCGAAAATAGAAAACCCTTATAAATTGTACACAATTCGAATTAACGATTTCACGAAAAAAAACGCGATGGAGATATCTTTAAAAAAGTACCGCGATTATCTGATAAAAAAGTACCTGAGGTTGCTAAGTCACTAGTATCATGATATAATGTTAATTCACCTTGTGTGCGTGATGTTGACTGGAGTAATGTGATGGTAGGCCTTCAGCGTAGGACGCTTGAGCAATGGGCAACACCTGAAATAAGAATTTTATTATTATGAATTATTTAATTCATAGCTGGTAAGTTCATTTTAGACGATGAATATATGGCAGTCATACTAAATTACAAAATCTAATATTATAAAGAGGTCGTTTGTTTGTTTGTTTGAATGCACTAACCTCAGGAAGTACTAATCTGATTTGAGAAATTGTCTTTGCATTAGATAGTCCGTTTATTGAGGAAAACTATAGGCTATATATCATCATGCTGCTACACAAGGGAGTGGAGCAGTAATATAGTCTATCTCTTACATAGTTACCGATGAAACATGGTACACACCCAGGGATTATCCCAAACGAAGCGAGGGTGAGCCACTAGCTATTAATATTTTGAGTTGTAAAAGAATATGTAATGTTGTAATATACAATCTGGGTTTTTTTATCTAAAGGAACCTCCCATTATTCCACAATAGCAAAAGAAAAAAATACTTATTCAGAAGCTCTCTAAAATATACCTTAGCACATCTCGCCTGTGAGAACCGTACATCAGTAGCAAGTGCGTCAAAGAGGGCGCCACCTGCTTCCTCGTTGTCACTTTTTGGGGACTCTTGCAAATAAACGGGTGTGAGAGCCTGCGCCGCCGCTCGCCATGACGAAGCACTGGGTAGCTGAGAATGGAAAAATAATAATAACCAAGCTATTGTAAACACTATTTGAATCCAGATGAGGCAACTTAAATTCAAATATTATTATTTGTCATTAAATTGTATACAATTGTAATTTTTACTGAATTTCATAAGTCTAGCAACTACCATAGTTTGGAACAAACAAGCATCAGCCTTAAGAAATTGGCAAAAGAAACAGGACTAACATTGTATTTAAAAAAATTGCAATAATTATCTAACATTAAAACATTCTGGTTGTTATTATTACATTTCCAAGGTATAAATATATTTTTTTTTAATTCTGTTATAACTTTTTTTAAATTTAGCAATAACATTTTTTTTTGAAAGTTTATCTAGAATCCTATATAAAAAATGTGTACAAACATTCTGATGACACAAAAATTACCTCAAAGAAGGAAGTGCTCATGGCATATTTGCCGACATTGTCATCAAATCCTTCCCCAAATGCTAAATCCAAGTGTCCTCGTAAGAACTGTCTGAAGGAACTTCTTTGTGTGGGTGGTTCAGGCTCTGTGCCAGTACAGAGATGTACCAAACCTTTAATAAGAGAGCTCACATCTCTAGCACAATTTTTACCATCATCTGCATTTATGTACACAAATTCTTCATTCTTGGGTATTGCAAACAGAGATTTGGCACTGTCAAAATCATTTTATAATTAGGTATATATTAAATAAATGAAGTATATAATATTAATAATATTATATCTATTAAATATTTTGATATTGTGACTTTTGTTTGTTTGTTACAATTGTAATATGATAATTGTGGTTTGGAGCCTTACCAAACATTGGTGATTATTCTGGCCTTCCTTAATATAAAATATATTTGATCTTCCACTGCATGCTCTAATCTTTTCAAAGCTGCCGGGGCCTTTTTCAATGGAGTGGGAGCTCTTCGGAAATGGAAGAGCAAGCGAGGACAACAAGGCCTACCATGAGTCTTCCATGCACTTCCAGCTTCAGAAGAAAGTATAGCAGCAGTTGTTTTTGCAATAAGTTCTGCCCTGCAAAACAGACACCAAAATTTTAATTAATAAAACTACATTGTTTAATTAGTAAATCTAATCTGAGAGTGTACAAACAATGTCTTCTGCCAATAATATCATACATTTTTGTTGTGACAATTTTAAACTTTAAAGCCTGAAAAAACTTTATGCATAATAAGTATATATTAATAAGTCAATTATTTTAAAACATTTTTGTATGGTCTATTTATAATATGCAAGATTTGGGTTAAAATAAATATTATCTGAATAATAAAATTAAATATCATTTACACACTTACCTATAACCATCAACTGCTTTAAATAGTTGTAAGTAACCTAGATCAAATACAGGTGTGGGTGAAGACAGTATTACAATATGACATAAATGAAATATCAATGCGATGGACTTGCATGACTCCATAGCTAGCTCCCCAGATGCCACTAACCAATGCGCTGCATCTGCATCTTTTACTGTACTCTTAGAATTCTCATCAAGGTTTGTTGCCAGTGACACCAAACTTTTAGTATCAAGATATGTAACTGCATGAAGATATAATACTCCTTTCCTCTCATCCCAATGGCATTCAATGCCATTCTGGAAATAAGTTATATTAGTAATATAAAATATTATTAATATTGATAAAATAGTTGTCTTAAAACTCAAGATTGTAAAGTAGAAAGAATAATAAATGATTAATTTTACTTACTTCTTCACACTGGACAGAGGGCAGAAGAGGAGTAGTTTTATTGGGGTAACGGTATGGTGATTTACCTATAATACCAACAACTACAATGCGTTCCTTTCTGGAGAATTCGGGAATATCCGAAATGGAAAATATTTGCCTCATTTTAAGTCATATCAATATAAAAGAAATTGTTTAATTTTCAATATTTTGAAATGTTTTGATTTTATTTTGACTTTAGAAATTTGATTTTGAAGTACAGACTACAGTTGAAAAATTAATATTTGTAATTTATAACAGAATATAAATACTGCTCATAGTATGATCAAATTTTTTTAGAGTTAATAAATACACTTGTTTATAACTTATTGCTATTTATACTTATAAATAACTATAACAAATAAAACTAATAGCTTATTTTCAAGCTGCTTGGTAGTAATCGTTTATTTAATAAGTTGCGTAAAAGCAGTAAATAAAAATAATAGTTTTTAATTAGTAAAATACTGTAACTTTCTTTGAATCCATCAAATTTCTATAATTTATCAATATGGTCTTCTTTCCTAATATTTTGTTAATAATATTATACATCAATAGGTACTATAAATTAATATTAAAAATTAATAAAAATGTTTTAGTTGTCATTTTTAGGTGACATTCGGCAATGGTTGACACTTGACAATTGACAACCAGCTGTGCGTTGGCTATAACCTTTCTAAGTCAAGGTTCGCAAGTTTTTGTGGAGAATGGGAAAAAGTAAAGCAGTTATCACGAAAAATTTTGTATTATCGCACGTATATAAGCTTCAAATATTTAAGTTAGACTAGATAGCGTATCAGTGAATAATTAAAGATACTAATTTCAATTATACAATTATGTCGTCAATATTAGACGATATTTGCGAATTATTGGATAGCTATAATGGGCGTGATAAGGTAAAGTATGCGGAAATATTGCAACCTTCGTATAACTATAGAGTACAGGAAATACTAGGCTCAAATTTATTATATATGATATTTTTTAATATACTCCTATTATTGAAATGTTACAGACAATACTTTCACAGACACTGGCTAAATACTTAAGATCGAAATAACAATAAAAAGTATATCTTTTAATTCACTATATTGTCTTCAAACATTAGTTTTCACCTTTTATTACAGGAAGTACTTAAAATATTTTCTATTACATTATTTGCAGGTAGTTCGACTAGCGTGTTATACTTGCAAACTGTATGGATGTGTCCAAGGAGAGAAATCCTGGCAAACAGCAGGCTCTAGGCTTTCCAATGCCAGGCTGATGCTCCGTCTGTTTGATGACATACCTATGATAAGACATACCTATAACTATGGTCTAGGGAAACATGTAAGTTACTGCACTTGTACATAAAACCAAACATTAAGTTATTAATTTTTAATGAAAATATAATTATTAATTGTTATCTATTGCAAAGATCCAACCATTAATTTTATTTATATGTATTTAACACAAAATGTATTATTATTACATGTCCTTGTATAACCATTCAAATGATTTTGTTTAATGATTAGTCATCTATATTAAAATTAGACTATTGGTCCCTAGGCGTCTATTGCTATAAAACTTTTATTTAAATGATGCATAATATAAGATACTTGAAGTTATTATTATTTTTTCAATGTATCTTAAATGTAATCATTTCAGGAGTCATCAAAAATTGCAGCTTTATTAGGAGTTCTTGCTAATGCAGTTGACCAAGTATTCTTGCCAGTAGAAAAGGCCTGTTGGCTTAACGAAGTAGGAGTTCTTGAGCTCTCTCCACAGACAGCAAATAGATTAGAAATTGTGAGCACAGCTTTGTGGGCCGCTAGTCTTTATATATCTCTAATACAGTGAGTTTTATTTTGTATATATTTGTAAATGCCTGCAGCTGCCTACGGGCCCCTATGTACTATGGGGCCACACACCGAGAAAGAATGAAAATGTTTCATTGAGTGACAATTTAATTTATACAATTAAAAAATTAGGTGAAAATTGCTCCATGAGAACAAACACAATAGTTAGATTCCTATGCAATCTACCTAATAGCATAATTTCGAATATAATAGCATTGTGCTAGAAAAAATGTATTTCAATAAGTTAGAAAAATGTGAAGGGGCCCCGAGAATTGTATTGCCTAGGGGCCCCCTATATGGTTAATTCGGCCCTGTGTATTATTGTAGAACAAATATCAACTAGTTGTTAACTAGGTAATTAGTTGTTGCGTAAATTATTTTAATTGGTATTTAAAAAAATATAAAGAATGATTATTGATATATACATAGAATATTAATAAAACAAAAAAGTAATAAGCAATAGACTTGACTCATGATATGTTATATAGGAAAACCCATTAAATAATGTGAATTACATTTTTATTACTGTAGGAATATTATTTTTTACTATAGGAATAGCAAGATGTTAGTATGGTTGGACTGGTATTTAAATAGAATTTAAAAGTAACTTTTACTGCCATTTACAAAAAGTTCATTAGCTATTTTTATTGTATAGATGAAATAAGTCTACTTTCCATGATTAAACAAACCCGTATCAAAGCTTAAGATTTGTAAATCAAACAAAATTAACAAAATACTTTCGACCAGTCAAAAGTTATCTACCGGTCAAAAGTATTTTTTTCAATAAAAACCAGTGTTTTTTGTGTTACTATTTTTAAACCAGGAATTTATTGCAACATGAAAATAAATATTGACTATATTTACCATATGCAATTTTCAATTTACCAATCTAGTCAGAAAATCTTAAACACTTTACCAATGAAGTCAAATAAAACTTAACCTTTTTTTGTGAATTACATATAATTATTTGTAATTTTCAGAACATTTCGATCATTGCGACATTTATGGTGGAGTCGAGATTGTCTCAGCTCAGAAGATGCATATGAAGCGAGAAAAAATTTTGACACTCGAATAATGATTCAAACAATTACTGCGGGGAAACTATGCCTTGACATCACGCATGCTGTTAGTTGTCTTCCCGCGGGATGGCTTTGGGGCGAAAAGATTGGAAGCACTAAAGTTTCAGGCATTGCAACTCTGTCCTCTGTGATTGGTATAGGGTTATATTTTGCTAGAAAACGCCTCCTTAAGTAAATTTGCCTTTTATAGACATTATGAAAATTTACTGAAATATGTATATATGGTTGTGTTATGTATTTAATATACTTTATAGTAATTTTAACAAATGAGTATTCAAATTTGAAATAAGGACAAAAATAATTTATTGGAACACAAGTTACCTAAATTAATCTTTTTTACCAAATACAAGATTGTTCTATTGTAAAAATATGGTTTACAAGGCTATGGACTATATATGTTTATTATATATAATATCTTTATACACATTATGTATATATAGACAATTTGAGTATTAATGTTTATTACTCTAACTTTATGTAAATAAACAATAAGTTATGGGTAGTTAAACAATTTGAAGTATTGGAATGTAGTACAATTATACCTATTTCATGTAAAATATTTTGTAATATACCAATTGATTTCTTCCATTAAATATTTGCTAAGAAAATTACACGAGTAAGATGTAATTTTTACATAAAATGTACATATATATGCAAAAATATAGATATGTAAAATAGGGAGAGATGATAAATAAATAAGATAACTAGCACTGGTTTTATTTGAAAAAAAAAAACTTAGTTCACATTTTCAATGTCGCTGATATGAAGGCTAAGTTAGTAACATTCTAAAGAATGAACTCGTCAATTTTTTATCATATACTTAAACCTCATCGCTCTAAGCATTATCTGCAGTGATATGACGCGTGTTCAGAACTGGTTACGGATGTCACATATTATGTTTAAAACCAGATTGAACCTACGACCTCATACAACAGATAGTGGTAGTTGATACTCGATAATATACTTCTGCAATTTGCATACCGCCATTTAATATTATTTTTAAAGCTGTTTTACTTAAAATGCATGCCTTAAATGCATTCCCAAATGACTTCATCAAATAGGCAATTTTTACCATTAAAATATTATAATGGGTTCGATAAATAGTAAAAAAGTATTTAATAGTCTTCTTACATATTCTTATACCTAATTATAGGATTTTGAAGTGGCAATACGCGGCGCGAGTAGATTTTTATAAAAATGCTATCCGTTTCATACCGCTCGCTTTGCCAACCAGTATGGTGCGATAGAGAGAGTTTCAAGTCTTAAAGGCAATTACCTACATTTCCTATTTAAAATATTGTTTCGGGCGATAACGTTTTCACCCCCCTAAACATTTACGAAATGAGACTTTTTGGTCTCATTATATTCAGTACCTAGGTACACGTTAATCTAGGTATGTACGTTTTTCTTTATTAGTAATTCAGATTTGTTTAATAAAAAAATATAATAAAAGCGCTCGAGGAAGTTTTTAAGTCAAAGTTATAAATATTTATTACTTACAGACCCAGTTTTTCATTATATCTACATTTCTAAAAATTATGAAAATTAGACTATGTTTTTGGGGGGAAAATCATTATCGCTTTTTGTATGAAAATTTAAATTTTACAATCCTCATGATCTAAGGATTAAGTTTCATTACTGGCGAAAGAAAAAAAAATGATGCCATCATAGTCCATATTTGTATGGACTTTTGGTTTTTTAGGTTGCATTGTTTTTTCTCGTTTAGATATAGTGTTAGTGAGATTTGAAACGAAATAAAATTAATGTTTGAAGGTAGATTATTTATTTAAGATAAAAAATAAGCTTTAATTATTCTCGAAGGTTGTCATATACATTGTAATAAATAAGATAATAAATACCTACATTAAAAAAATTATATGTTACTACTTACTAGTGCCTTCAACAGGATCGTCTAGTTCAGTCTTCACTTCTTTGGTTCCCGGCATTGCGTCATATTCATAGTCTTCTACAAAATCTCTCGCGACAGTTATCGCGTTCACTGTCGCTGTTAAGTCGAGCATTGATGATAAAATCTCCAACAATGCCTTCATTTGTAACTTCTCTTGTCCAATTCTCATTTTCTAACCGTTTTACACCTCTTTTTTCCAGTCTTCAGTCGTTAATAACGACATAGCTTGGAGCGTTAATACTTCAATATGTTCTTCTAGCTAATGAAATGTTTTTTCGGCAACTCCTATTTACTAAATCCCACACGTACTTAATGGGATTTAAATCGCAATTATGTGGCGGTAATCTTAAAGTTACATGCCCGTGATCAGTTAGCAATTTGTTAATTGCATTGTCAATTGTCCTTGGCATATACATATGTAGGTTGTGTTAAAAAAATTGGTCGCCATGATTGAAATAATTCCGGAGGTAATTATGTATAATAATATTAGAGGTAAAGTTTGCGAGTTTGTGAGTTTGTGTGTTTGTGTGTTTGTTGTAGGGGTAATCTCTGGTTCTACTGAACCGATTTAGGTGAAACTTGGTAAGAAGATAGTTTGAGACCTTGAGAAGGACATATACTTTTTATCCCGGACATCACCCCTGAAGGGGGTGAAAATGGGAATGAAAGTTCGTATTGGGAAGCAAGCTAGGGACGAATCCGAGCGAAGCGAGGGTGAGGCGCTAGTTGTTTAATAAAGGGAAAATGTATCATATCTCAAGAACTACTAAAGTACTTTTATGAGATAGTAATTTTTGTTGGTAGTTTTGGTATTTCGTTTACATGCAAATTATTCTTAGAAATTTCTACCTCAAACTTTATGTATGTTGCTTAATGTGATTTTTAACTTTATCCCTCCACTAAGTTTGTGTCGACTTTTAGAAACAGTGAAAGCGTTGTCACTGGGTATGTTTAGGCGTGAGTCATAATAGAACCTCTCTTTGCCTTATGTCGTCCTGGTCATTTAGATGTTTCAAAAATTTGGCGAAAGAATCTCTAAGGAAAACTATGTCAGGAATGCAATAGGAATGTAAATGGACTATTACAAGAACTTGTCCGTAATGGCTAATTCCATAACATAAGGAAATAACTACAATGTATGTCCCATTGTCGATCATTTGAAAATCTTCTTGCATAATAATACTATGCGCGCGATCAGATTTTTGATGCTGACTTATACTACTATTTATTATAATTACTTATTTAATTATGACTTAACGCACTTTTGTATCAGCTTAATCAACACATACACGTATCTACGATTATTTCTGGAAGTTTTTAATATTTATCCTCGTTGGCATTATTATTGAGATCATAACTTACTTATAACCAAAAAAATATATAATATTAATTAAAAAATAATAATCAAATATCATAATGTGCAAGAGGAAAATTCGAGGACCGCTTACAAAGTTCTACGCTCCTGGTGATGCTACCTAAAATGGCGGATCAATCAAAATGGATGATGAGTGACAGAAACTGACGATTAAATGGAACTGAAAAATTAGGTTCTATCTTATTTTACACAAATAAAGGTATATAGGTACATAATATTATATATTAATAATAAAATATTCATACACATAAAAATTTATAATTGAAAATCAAACCGAATATGAAACAAATTCTTCGTTTATTTTATTTCAATTATCTATACATTTGGAAAATCCTATTGAAATAAATATTATTATCGATACAGAGACCGATGTAGTTTTTTGAATTTGTCTGTCTGCCTGTCTGTCTGTTACCGCATCACAGAAAAACCACTGGAGGGATTTTGATGAAGTTTGTTATGGTGATAGCTGGTTATCCGGGTCAATATATAGGATACTTTTTACCGCGGGAAAATGTTTCATTTCTGCAATCTAAGAGTATACTAATATGTAAAACCTAAGAATTTGGTTTTTGGTCATCTGAATGCGGGCGGAACCGCGGGCAATGCTAGTAATTAGTAATTCTTAAGTGTGCATTTATTAGCAAAGATATGTATAGATTTAGGAAAATATTTTTTTTATGTTTAGCTTACCTTTCTTTTTATCGTCGGGAAATGCATTTACGCATACCACCTGATCCCCCAGGCGGTGATGTGGAGCTCACCGGCTAGAAGAGCCGGTACTACCCACTAAAACCCGACATCCCTTCCCCCCGCCTTAGTGGGACGCCGCAGGATCGCTTGCGCATAACTACTACGTCGCCCCGGCGGCAGGTCTGCCTAAACGCTAGGCAGACCACCAAACCAATGGGGTTGCTCCACAGTCAACTCTGCTACGCCAGAGAGGTACCCGGAGCAGCCCCATTAAACGTAACCTCCGCCCACCGAAATGGGCCACCTCCAATCGGCTGCAGAGGACAGGGAGAGCGGCAACGAAACACCGACACTCCTCTTCCCATGCAGCCCCACCGCGTCCGCCATCAAACGGTGGCAGCCCCGTCTAGGCCGCGGAAGGTAGGGAGAACGGCGCACCGAAATACCGGCACTCCTCTCCCACCGCGGCCCACACCTCCGCCGGATGCGGGCCTGCGACCACAGTCCCGCAACCGGCACTCATCATCCGGTTGTAGGACCAAGCGGTCCCACCACCGGTGGCCGCAACGCCTTCGGCTCAAGGCCTAGACGAGCGGCCCCACCCAAGCCATTTTGACTCTCTGTCACCTCCCCTATCTAAAAATACCACCCACTCCGAACGGTGGTAAAGAAATGTATGAAAATGTATGGAAATGTTGTAACTTTAAGTCTCAATAACTTTTGACTCTTTTGTTACCTTAAAATAATTTTTATATATTTGGACTCCCTATCACGTCCCCTATCCAGAAATACCACCCACTCCGCCAGGGGCCGCGTCCCTAACACTAAACTTGTGCCGCGGGTGGCATTCCCCTATCCGCCACCTGGGGACGCGCCCGGTAGGAGTTGGCTTCTCCCCCGGGTTGTTTAGCTTACCTAGAGCGACATATAGTCAACTTTTGACTAAGCTCTTTAATTAAAGATAAAAAAAGTGTGTATTTATTTTGTATATTTAATTAAGTATATTTTTGTATTTTCACTGTATTTTCTTTTCTTTTAAATAAATTCGTATTCTTTACATTATATTATAATATTTAAGGGTTAAATGGCAAAAAAAAATCGTACAAGGAAAATGTTTTTCAAAATAAAAGACCGAAATCCTCATAATGGAAAAGAAAATTCCTCCTTCGTGAAAAGCTCACAAGTTTTCCCGACATCCGCAGTACTAGGGTCCCATACACTATGAAGAAACTGCATTTTGTAAGTTATTTGGACATGAATCTACGATTTCAATGGATGTGTTGGCATAATCGGATTACTAATATTTGTTTTTATGTTTATATTGTGAATGTTTGTTACGCCTTCACGCAGAAAGGGCTGGACAGATAAAACTTAGTACGTATAGAAATCACCGTTTAATACTTTTTTTTAATGTTTGGAAATGCATTTACGCATATCACCTGTATACATACAGGTGGTCATGTGGGACTCCCTGGGCTAGAAAGCCAGTACTACCTACTAGAACCCAACAGAAATTCGGCCGTCTTAATGGGGAGTCACAGAATCGAATACGCACTACTAGATTAAAATAAGTTTAACATTAATGTTCTCCCGACCGTTTCTACGAGACTAGCCAACTGCGCAGGAGATATAATAGTACACAAGTATACGCTACCGAGATTTCTGTAGGTACATAAAGTGTATTGTGTAAGTGATCGGAGCCATGAGCAAATACTAGCACGGGACATAAAATTGTGATTTCTGCAATACCTACTAGTGTTATTGGATTAAAATAAAGTAGTTATTTTTACTGTTAAACAGTCATTGCTCATATATTATGTACCTATAGATTTTGAATATTTGCAAAATAGTACTTCTTTTTTAGATGTATAGGGTCTAAAATAACATAAGTTCATGATTTTGCGATGACAATTTGAAGAATCAATCCATTTACAAAAATCGATCAAATGCGAGTCGAATTCGCACACGGAGGGGTCCTTACCATACCGTACATGTACCTACTTTTTATCAATATGACTTTTACTCTATGTATGTAGTATATTAACTTTCGTAACGTTAAAAAAATGTTTCTTGTATTTTCATTTTTTTTTATTTTTATTATGTGTTGTTATAGCGGCATTAGAAATACATACTTAGTCTATAAAAAATTCAACTCTACCTATTACGGTTCCTGAGATACAGCCCTCTGACAGACGGACAGCAAAGGCTTAGTAATAGGGTTGTCACCTTCGTTGGCACCTTTCGGGTACTCAACCCTAAAAAAGCACAGTAAAAAATCCCACATCACAAATACCATATCTATACCTTCGTTATTTTAAGTACAAGGGGTTGTAAAGATCAATATTTCGACGCATGCGTTAGGCAGTTAGTTAGACACCTCTCTACGTCTTTGCGCTCCTAGTACCGCCGCCCACAAGTCAGACATTTTCCTGCCCTCTTCCAGGCTTTCCCGGAAGTTAAGACCCTCGACTTCCGTTCTGTAGGGCGGCGAAGATGTGGAAATCCGCCCAAGTTTTCCGTATTTCCCCATTAGTAGAAGTATTGTGTTAGGATATCATAAGAGTCTAGGGGTAAGTTTGGGAATATGTAAGTCGTTTGCGCATGCTTTCTGCGCATCTTCGACAAAAAATTTAATGTGACACTCTTTCACATACTACCATTGGATAACATAATTATAATAACGCGGAAGCTCTGTATATGTAAATGTGTGCAACGAATATTAGATACACACGTAGGATCATTTTTGAAAGATTTTTTTTTGTTGAGTTTTACCTAAGCTGCCTTGTGAACTGGTGGTAACTTCTTCATAAACTTGCATAATGAGATTTAATTTTAATTTTAAAATATAAAAATTGTCGATTCAAAGAGCGAAGTAAAGTCTATTTAAATGGACGTTATAGTCAGTATATAAGTTAGGGATAATGATTTAACCTTGAACTTTAAGATGATTAGCTATAAACTCGGTATTAAAAAATATTTCACACGATCAACCGTTTTAAAGATAGAGCATTAAGCGCTTAGTAGGCTGTTGTTTTATTTTAATGACAATTGATTTTAATTATAATAAACTATTAGAACCCACATCTTGGCTCGCTCTAAAACTACAAAAAATTCTCTAAGAAGGTAGTTCTTTCATATTCTATTTTACCCTCTCATAAGATGAATTTCGAAAAATGTTATGTTTCAAATCATTCGGATCATCAATATTTTTGGATCGTATCATAATGTGTTTTCCCGTGGGAATTAGATAATTTCTAGCGGTAAAAAGTAGCCTATGTCACTCTCCAGCCCTGCTACTATTTCCACACAAAAAAATTACACCAAGCCAACTCTCCGTTTCGACGTGAAAGAAAGACAAACAAAGAAACACACTTTCACATTTATAATATTAGTATGGATATACTAGGTATTTATTAATTTTAAAATTTGATGCTCTGCAACTATAGTAATGATTCAAATCACATTTTGAGGAAATTACATCTTTACAAAAAAAACTGACAACTTGTGTGGCGGACATGTTCGCTCAAGTGTCATATCCGCCAATTTAAAAAATGCCAAATTAAAGGAATAGGAATAATAGGAATTTATATTAATTATAATATATAGTATACACTTACAGTGTACACTGTACAAGTAGGTCGGTTTTATTATGTTTCATTTTTTAATTTATTTCACTAAGCTATTCGGATGATGCTCAATAACATAAATAAGACAGACCGTATGACGAAAAAAATAATTTAAAATCAAATGTATCAGACGAGTATTTTACAGTTAATTTAGTTTTAAAATAATAAATCGGACGGCTGATATAATACAATGTTAATGTGTCTTGTAGACAGAGAAGATCGAGACGGAGAGGAAAAATAAAATAATATTTTAAATGTAAATTATTTATTTATATTAAACTATTGAACACATTCGTAATATGTATTCCTTAGAGGAATTACTTTTGCTAACTCTACTTATACTTATTATTGTAGATTGTTATCAGTCTTTTACCGGTAACCTTTAAACTTCCGATTTGAGATAGGATAAACATACATACAATGTTACCATAATAAAAGCTGTAATTATGTCAAAAATCTATCTCTCGTAGGAAGAGTAATTTTGGCCTTTTATAAATCAAATACATATATGTATATGTATATTACTACCGACTATATTTATAATTTTGTGTATTCATCTTACATAGAGAAAGTGCGGCAAAAATATATAAAATAATGTATGTATAATATATAATATGTACCTATACCACAGTGTAATATTATATAAGTTTCTTTCTATAAAGTTTGAGTTTTACATAAAAAATAAATGACAATATTTTCATACTATACAATTAAAAAACACAGTAATAAGCGAGACACAAACATTTTTAAGAGAACTTCCACTTATATGTATTACATTTGTATTACATTTGTATTACATTTTGAATAAATTATTTTCTATTTTTAACCGAGGAAAAAAAGGAAGAGGTTCTCAATTCGACAATATATATTAAAATATATATATTTTTATGTTTGACCACGCATAACTTTTTACAGTGAAGTCTGATTTCGATGATTCTTTTTTATTGTATATTAGGGTAGGGTATACCTTAAAGTTGTTTCATTTAAATTTGAAAAAAAAATCCACTCCTAATTGTAGAAAATATGGGGATGATTGATTTTTCACCTACTAAAGTTTTAAAACATTTTTATCTTACTTTGCTACTACTATGTCTACACTAAAAATGGAAAAATAAAAACTCTTTGAGATAAAATAAAACCGCCTTCAAAAAAACAGCGGTGCCAACCGATACAAATCAAAGCACACCGACTTCGAAAATATCTGATTAGGTATCTATATAGTAAATGAAAACTAAATCAGTTATTATTTACTTTTTAGTTTTTTTCTTGAAGTTGGTTTTATATAATAAGAGGATTGTACCTACGACCTTGGTGCTCAATAATTATACAAAGAAGTATAATATTTAACAATATTGAAATTGTTATAGAATACTAGTAAAAATACTCGTACATTCATGGCATGAGGTCCAATAAGTAAGTTTAGTTCAAATAAATGTTAATAGATAGCGTAATTTGTCCTTTAATAGATTATGTAATGTACAAAATTCTTCAATAGAGCAAAGAAAATTTAATTAGAAAGTTCTTAATTCAAACTTCAATTATTCCGTTAATTTATAATTAGTTATAAATAGTTTGCACTGCATGTTCATAGATGGCGCTGTTTGCTCTCTTCGACTTTTTTTTCTAGTTTTAACAGCTATAATCATCAAAAGTTTTTTTGTTGCATTTTGCTATATGAAATTAAATATTTCGCCTATTCAGAAAAAAAAACAAGACAACCCTGATTAAAGGAGTTCAATTCTTTCTATGAGATGGGCTATCTGTAGGTACTAACTATTAGCACAGATCATATAATACTATACTAGTACTATTAGTATATAAATGGCATAGAAAGGTCTAAATTAAAGCAAACAAAAGATATGAGATAAACGTTACTCTAAATATATCAAAGTCCACGCATTTGTTGAAATTATTTGAGACATTTTTAATTAAATAAAATGTATTTACTAATATTAGCTATATTGAATTTGTACTAAATAAAATTAACTTAATATTTACTTATCCAATTTTAACTTAAAATAAATTAATTTTAATAATATTATAACTAAGAAATATAAAGACTGGTTTGTGTCAAATATTTGGACACAGCCTCAAAATGGTACTAGTTTACTTTAACCGACTTTAAAGAGGAGAAAGCTTTCAGTGTGGCAATTTCTGCCGTTCGTATGTCACTTTAAATGAAATGAAATTAAATTTTATTCAAATAGATTTATACAAGAATTTTTGGATGGTCAATTTAATTTAAAGAGCGTCAGTGTCGTCGGTCTGTGAGAAAGCTACCACCAGTTTCGGAATGGCTCGTACTTATAGACTATATTACCTATAAATAGAATTCATAGGCCGTACCCGTTTATATGTGAAAAAATCTTCTTATCCAAAGGAGTATAAATTGATTACTTTCCACATTAAAAAGAAATATTGTATCAGTTTACTTTCAGTATAATTATTTATATACAAATGTTCAATTCAATTCAAGAGAAGTGAATTGAATGTTAATGGCTTTTAAACGTGCCAGTAGAGCACAGATTACTTCGCCAATGTCAAATAAAAATGTTAAAAAATCCTACCGAGCATGAATTAAGCGGGTACGTAAGGTTCATTCGGTTTCTTCGTCATAAGAACTGGACCACTATTCTTAGCCGGCAGAGTGAAGCACAGCAGCGCACACACTGAAATACAAATTCATATTATTTTTATCTCTACAGATAAATAAAATTAAAGTGTCTGTTTACAAAATAACAGCTTTTTACTAAATGCATACTAAACTAAGTACATACGGTGTTTATAAGAACCAGTTTTAAAATTTTTGTCTGTCTGTTTGTTCCGGCTAATCTCCGAAACGGCTGGGCCAATTTTGAAGGAACTTTCAGTGGCAGGTAGTTGATATTATAAGGAGTAACTTAAGCTACTTTTATTTCAGTAAAATAATTGGGCTTCCGCTCAAAAAAAAAATGAAAATTAAAATATACATGTAATGTGAGTGTGGGTGAGTCGCTAGTTTATAATAAGAGTGAGATTGTGAGATGTACAGGTATATGTGTTTTTGTTTCTCTGATTGCACTGGCCTCTCGAACTACAACTTTGATTTGAAAACTTCTTGTTGGGATTAATAAATAGCCTCTCTATTGAGGATCAGCAGACCTGCCGTCGGGGCGTCGTGGTTGAATGCGTATGCGTAAGCGATCCGAAACCCTAAGATTAAGACGGGGGAGGTTCCGTTGGGATTTAGTGGGGTTTTACTAGCTTTTCTAACCGGTAAGTCTCACATAACCACCTGTATGTATGCAGGTGGTATACATAACCCAACGTTAATAAAAAATTGGTCAAATTTCGTTAACTATGTTTTATTATAGTATATATAGATTACTGTGCTTTTGTATATACATGTACGTGTGTATGTTCTCACCAATAATAATCCCTCCGAACAGATAGAAGCTGAGTCCACAGTTGGTCTCTAAGAAGACGCCGATGAGGCTGGAAGCGCACATGGAGCCCACGCGCCCCATCATCATGGCGAGGCACACAGCCATCGCTCTGGAAATAAGGTATAGAAGTGGTGTTATTTTGTATTTTTATCAAATAAAAGTTAAGTCAATCGCTTCAAGCTTGTATATTTATTCACAAGTATTTGTATCTTTTTACATTTGTTTTATTATTTGAAGATGGATGTATAATGAATATATTACAATTTGTCATTCAATAATTTGGTAAGTAGTTGGTCGTAAGCACGATGTGTGATGATGACCATAACTTTTGAAATGTCAAAAACCTTAATCTCTCCCTTAATCGTGATTGCCGAAAAGTATACTAAACATCAATGTAAAATCAAAACAAAACCGTGATAAGATTTAAAATACCTAATATTCATGTAAATCTAAGAAAGAAAGGGTATTATAGAAACTCACGTGCTAGCATGATAAAAATCTAAAGAGTATCTTTGTAAAAGGGTGTCTGCTGTGAGACATAGTGTCTGATCCTCACCTGTACTTAGTAGGGAAGAGCTCAACAGCAACAGCATTAGTCAGCCCAATACAAGCACCACACATCTGGAATATGGCGAACAAAGCCACCGCCACCATCTGGTTGTACACGTGGTGAGCCACGATCCCGCACACTCCTGTGATGGTGAGCACCACCACGAGAATGGTCTTCTTCCCTAAACAGTCTACGAGGAATCCCACGATAATGTACATAGAACAGAAGACCAGCCCAATGTATATGGACATCTCGAAGATTGCTGTGTTCATTGTGTCGTCGCAAATGATCTGTAAATTATAAACATTATTATTTGTATGCGTGTGTATTCAGCTCTTTTTAACGTCCCACTGCTGGGCACGGGCCTCCCTTCAACACGAAAGGATAAGGCTACCACGCTGGCCAAGTGCGGGCAGACTTCACATGTCTTTTCGAAAACTTGCTTGGTTCTCTCAGACATGCAGGTTTCCTCACGATGTTTTCCTTCACCGTAAGTAATACATTTAATCGCTATTGTTTTCCAGCGAATCCGCTTGCGTGATAGCATTAACCTTAATAAAACTTAGCCTCATAAAATAATCCAGGATATAAATGAAATGATTGAAATAAATGATTAAAAAATAAATAAAATAAAATAAGCTCTAATCTTAATTTGAAAATTTTATTTGAAACGCCGTTACAAAAGAAACGTACCTCAGTGCCATTTATAGGCGATTTGTTCTTTTCAGAATCTAAAACGTCACAGATGCGGCTTTCCTCCCCCTCGTGGTTCACAAGAGAATTTAATATAGTCGGGAACCAGACGTAGAAACCGTTTGTACTGGAAAAATTGAAAGTAATATTATAACTTTTTCTTCTTTACCTTTCTTCGATCTTCTTCGAGAGACATTTTGAAATGTGATAGTAATGCGTAACTTAAATAAAGAAGCAATTCCAGAGTTTTAAATAATACTAAACACTAGTTATTTAGGTGCTAACAGCAGCCTAAATCTTTTTTCTATTATGAGAAATGCATTTACGTATACCAACTGTATACAAACTGGTAGTTATGTTGGACTCACGGGCTAGAAAAACCAGTACTATTCACTAAAACCCAGTAGTACCTCCCCCTTCTTAAGGGCTTCTTACGCACTCAACCACGACGCCCCGACGGCAGGTCTGCCGATGCAAACCACATAACCTCGGGCCACTCTGATATCAGAGAAGTACCAGGAGCAACCCGCATGTTACACCGCCCACTAAAGAGGGCCACCTCCCACCACCCACCGAAGTGAGCCACCTCCCTGTGCGTTTCTTGATTTCGCGCCCGGCGGGATTGCCGGACGCTAATGAAGCCCCACCACGACAAAGTGAACACACGTTGAGGGAGTACTAAATAAGTAACGGTAACAAACATACACACCAACACACATATAAACATTCATAATATTAAGTTGCATATTCATAGTAGTATACGTAGTAAGGATAACTTACGTAGCAAACAATCCGAATTGGATGAAGCAAGTGAGACAAGTCCAGGGCACCAGAGGGGGCCTGAACAAGGGGAGGGTCTGGTCCTTCATTGATCTTAGTATAGAGCTCATCCCTTTAATTTCTTCCTTTTTAGTGTCCTGCACTTCAGATATTAAAGTTTTTACCTGTAATTGTTCATTAAGATAGAACTTATTAAAAACTTACATTTTGATAATAATAATGGGGCTTAAAAGTTAATTATTTGATTAATTTATAGTAAAACCTTAGTTTTCAATTTGGCCAGGTTATATTAAAAGATAAGCCTTGGTCGGTTTTAGCGTTTCGCGCGTTTTTAGGAAAGATTTTTTTTAAGTTGTTATTGATGAATTAATTCGTTTTGATTTTATGGTAGGAGTAGTCGGAAGACTTGAGAGCTCCAGGCATTAAAGCAGATTGGTAAATAATAAATTGCCTTGTTCTACTTGTGAAATCTATTTAGATTTATATTTAGTTACTTCAAAACTAATAATAAAAATAAAATGACATTTAAATACGATATTCATTATTCGATGCAATATTTAGTAAAATTAATCATCGTCAGTAAATCAGATTTATTTTGTAATTTTATTGAGAGGATGTTATTAATATATAATTAAATTAGAATGATTATGCTATATGCAATAGCATGTTTAAATAGTTATATTTAATGTTAAAATGCCAAAATTAAAATAAATAAATTAACGTCTAATAATATTTTAAACAATATTACACACTTACAGGATAACTGTCTTCTGACTTCCATTTATTCACCGCATAGATTTTCCTTAGAACTTTCAGACATTCTTCTGATCTTCCCGAGGCACTCAAATATTTAGGGCTCTCAGGTGCGAAAAACAAAAAGATTGTGCTCAAGATGAATGGAATAGTGCTGGCGATGACCAGCAGGCGCCAAGGACGGTACGAGATGTTGAGAAAGTCGATAGGAAATGAAAAGTCTAAGGGGAGGATAAGCCAGGATATCGCTGAAATTGGAAATGACATACTATTTTATGATCTCATGAAATTATAAAGCGTTTCTCTAAACACACAGCAGCTGGGACATTAACACACAGCACCATCTATGTAGTCCCATGGTAAGGCTTGTGGATACCAGATAGTTGAATCAGTATACATATGTATTTAACTTTAAATACATACATATTATAAATATAAATATCCATGACTGGAGTACAAACATTCGTGCTCATGAATCACACAAATGAAGGCATTCATGCATATAATTTAAAATATTAATAAACCGTGACCTTATATTTTTGAAATGTTGCGAATTCAGCATATTTAAAAAAAGCAAGTGCAAAATATAGACTGTTTGGAATCTAACTTACAGTTGTTAGTTAGACCAGTTTAGTAAGCAACACGTGTTCGAAATACATGACCGTAGATACAGATCGTACAACCGTAAATATAATCAATATATTTGTATATGAATATAGTATATAAAAATAAATAAAATTATATATATTTACACACTTCGTGAGCCATTTAATGATTCAATGGAGAAGCTATTATTAATATTTATTATTTACACGATATTGCCTTGAATTACATATTTATAGACATTTTCATTATTATATACCACATACCTATATACCTACGAAATAATATATGTATATGTGACCTAGTTTTAAAAATTATAGTTTAATTCATATATTAATGAGTTTAAAACATAAGCAAAGTACCTGGCAATACCACAGTTCCGATGCCCACAAAAGAAGATCCGAAAGCGACTATCTTGTCCCTGTGCTGCATGTTAGTGAACTCTCCCAAAAACGTGTAAACTATCGCGGAAGGTCCCGACGTACTGAAAAAAGGAAAATAATATATAATTTATATGTGAAACATTTCACAGATAAATTCGTCAACACAAACTCTAAAAGAATGCCAACTTGTCTAAGCCCTATAAAAGATACTTAAAAAGTAGAAAATAAAAAGTACTTACAACATAGCCGCGACGAATGCCAGGAAACCAAACGAAATCATTTCCGGCGCGAAGCTAGAAATGGCGGCCATCGTGGCAGAGACGACCATCGCAAACATCATCACGTTGCGTCTCCCGCGCGTGTCCGCGATATACCCCCAGAAGTACGACGTGACAATTATAGCTAAAAAATGAAGATTAAAACGATATTCTATCCATGGTATTCAGTGTTTTATTAATGGCTGGCGGACTTTACATTACTGGGTTCTCTCAGACATGCAGGTTTCCTCACGATGTTTTCTTTCACTTCACACATGAATATATCGGAGGTGAGAGATTTAAACCCGCTTCAGTCGGCTACCCAAACGCGCAAGTTACCACTGATATAATCATTATTATTGATACAGAAGCCGAATCTATAGTTTTTAGAATTTTTGTCTGTCTGTCTGTCTGTCTGTCTGTCTGTCTGTCTGTCTGTCTGTCTGTCTGTCTGTCTGTCTGTCTGTCTGTCTGTCTGTCTGTCTGTCTGTCTGTCTGTCTGTCTGTCTGTCTGTCTGTCTGTCTGTCTGTCTGTCTGTATGTCTGTCTGTCTGTCTGTGGCCGCATTACGGAAAAACTGGAGTGATTTCGATGAAATTTGGTATGATAATTGCAGTTTATCCGGGTCAATTATAGGATACTTTTGACTGCGGGAAAATATCTCATCTCTGAGAAATATGTATATATACTAAACGTTAAAACGTAAGTAGGGACGGACCCGAGCGGAGCGAAGGTGAGTCGCTAGAATGTTAATAAATATGTAAGCTTTTTGAAGAGTTCTCAAAGTCGAACTAACAGTACGTAACTTTAACTATATACATATATATATACACATGTTCAACTAACTGTATAAGAATGTATCCTTGCATAATTTTCTTCTCTATTTACTTACCTAGAAAAGGTATCGCAGCCAACCATCCTCGTTGCTGCATAGTGAGGTCTAGGTCACATTGCGCGGCCGGCAACACGTACCCCATAACCAGGCTCTGCATGATAACTCCCATAAGGATCAAACCGCTTAGCAGCATCTGCATGATGTTATATATTCCAAAACCTAGAAACGATTTTCACAAGCATTACGTCTAGCTGGAGTTCCTAAAATCCTTTATGGAATAGATGTATAGGGAGAACATAGCATTGTATTCATACCTATATTGTAAAGAAGTCATATAGCTTAATCTTAACGTAACGACGTTTGAGGCACATTACACTTACGGGTAGAGACATAACGCGTACATCTAAGAAAGTATTACGCTTTGTCTATTATATAATTTAAGTATGGCTGACGATACCAGTTTACATATGTAAACCTTGAATAATTTTACCTGTGCAGAAAAAGAAACTGAAAACATTCGAAAAAAATATTTGTATTGGCCCTATTTCATGATATAGAAAGCCTATTAGTATATTGTAATCTTGCGTCTAGACATATACATTATCTTTCTTCTCTCAATATAAATAATTGTCACGAAATATTTGTAATTTGAGGTAGGTAGTTGAGGATAGGTATTGGGTGTGTTCAGGAGGCGTGGTGATGACCACCAAAAATATGGTTTATACTGTATAGTGTATATGGTGAACATCAGTTCTCAGTTGGGAAAGATATCACATAACACAAACATAGTAAAACATATGACTAAATTGAGTACCTTATATTTTTAAGTCTGTCACAAATAGTTCAACAATGAGAGCAGTATTGAATCTATCAATTTTGAAATCGTCACGTCCGTCCGTCCGTCCGTCCATACTGTCAGGTTTAAACTTTTATTTAAAATGCTTTTATTAATGATGTTTAGTGTAGCGTAAATTTTACGATATAAAGTTAATCTGTTATCTTGAAAGGGGGTAATATATAACAAGTAATTACAGTGGTAATTCCTATTAATATAAACTTGTTTCTACGTCTTAAGTCTTGTTGACTTTGTAATAAAGAGCCTTCTATTATTTGAGATGGAATAAAAACTAGTATGATAACATATATGTATGTAGAGACTTGGGAAACCCCATATTGTAAACAACGTCAAAAACACTATGAGATTATTCAGTCATTTTTGCGTATAAATTTTAATAGTTATATTTTTGATTTAATTTGGTTCATATTTTAATATTATTGATTTATTTATCTGTATATTTACTTAAATACTTATGATTAGTGAGACACATTCAGGTCAAACTTTGCCAATAAATCATTTGAAATATCAATTATGTCGATGTTGTCCATATCTTCTCAGTGGTTAAATCACTAATTAATCATAACTGTTATCTAGGCAAAGTAAACAATTATGTTAGTTAAATTTACAAAATTTATTTACATTAATTAAACATTTTTGGAAAGCTTAATTTATAAAATGAGTAAGGTTCTATTAATTAACAAGTCAGAATTTATGCACAGAAAGAATACTTCGATGAAAATACTCGTATTTTTAATTATCTCGATCATATTATGTGGCATAGCGACCCCGTCCCAATTCGCAATTATAGTACAGGAGCTCAAGAGGGGATTTTAGGAGTTACTCAAGCGCGGCAGATTACCATAAGGGGGGATACCTTGCACTCTGTTGAGTACCTACCTCCACCATAATATAACAGTAGTTATACATAACAGTAGTTATACATTTTTGAGTAAATATATATGTATAGTATCTTAGACTCTATTAAGTACATGTTACAATGAAATTATTATTTAATTTTTGGATTAATGCATTTTTTGTATGTATGCTAAAATACTAATGTTATTTTCATAGAACGTTTAAAGGTTAAATTGTATTTGCCATACTTTGTTTTTAAACAATCGCCCGGCAAAGCACCCAAAGAACACTGTTCAAAGCAGCATGTTTCTAAGGTTATCTCTAAAATACAAGTTAGTTTTTACCTAATTATTAAAGGTATAGTATATCTATACTATTATAATTATTATGATAAGTATTGTTTATTGGGTATACGCAACTCATTATAATCTGCCAAAACAATAGGAATATCTACACCTACCTACTACTTACTCTTCGTGTAGACATACAAACACTGTCAGCTACGATCGTAGCGTATGGCATTCAGCTATGTACCTACTTTCATACTACATGTATACACTAATATATAAAGCTAAAGAGTTTGTTTGAACGCTCTAATCTCTGGATCTAATGGTACGATTTGAAAAAAATATTTTGTTGTTTTATGGCCTATTTATTAAAAAGCTTAACCGGAGTAATTCTGCAAAGTTAAACGGCGGGAAAAGTCGCGAGAAAACGCTAGTACTACATAGTTCGTGAACATCACTCTAGCTGTAACGTGCATATAATTTAATGTATATAACACGCATTAATCATTACAGTTATTTTGAAATAACAATACATATCCATTTACAATATTATTTATATGTACTTATGGACTTATTTGCTGTCACTACATGAATGAAATATTATCATGTTTTATTTTATTAAATTAATCAGTATTTTCATAAAGTCATTCAGGATTAATTTTATATACATACATGTGGAAAATTCTACTCAATTTTCAACATAAACAACAGCTGAGATAACGCACAGTAAAGAGGAGTCTTACCGTATCTTATCTAAATATATTTATAGCACTTTAATTTTCAAATTATTTAGAAAAAACGATAACGTACGAAATGTCAGACAACTTTTAATCGCAATTAAGGATTTATGCTTAGATTTTTCTGATACTAGTTACTTGCTTGAATTCGCCCGGCTACTTCTTTTGTGTATAGACACTACCCAAAACTAACCCCTTGTCCCACATGGGAAATTTGAGATAAGGAAAGGAATTTTGAAACCGCCATAATATAATTTTCGTATTCAGCCCTTTTTAACGTCCCACTGCTGGACACGGGCCTCCCTTCAGTACGAGGGGAATCAGGCCATAGTCCACGACGCTAACCAAGTTCGGGTTAGCGGACTTTACATATCTTTTGAGAACTTGCTAAGTTCTCTCAGATAAGCAGATTTCCTCACGATGTTTTCTTTCACCGTAAGACAAGTGGTAATCATGTTGGAAATGATTCGCACATGAAAATATCAGAGGTGCAAGACACGGGATAATCATTTACATATTAGTAAATATTACACGTACACGAGTTTATGGAGTTAAACGTAGAACTAAAGTTATCTTTAATAGACGTTATCTCCTGGTGCTAAGGTGAAATCAACTGTAGATGTTACATCATGTTGTATCATAAATATATAATAAGTTCACGCGGTACGCCAACTGTTTGAGCTAATGCAACGATTGGATCACTGCGTGCAATCCGTAGAGTGTCGTCACTTTGAACGTAAATAGTCGATTACGCACTTGTTGTGACCAATATTAATAAATATTATTGATCGATTTGTCTCTGGAGCGGTTCATTTTATTTGAAAACTTTAAAAGTGCGTGCTATCGCTGATCTGACCGTATTATGTTTATTTCTTGGAATTATGAAAGGAAAATATTATGAGCTTTATATCTATTATGTAAATTTTCTTTTGTAGTTTTTAATACCTCAAAATATTAGTTTTTAACACTTTACTAGATATGATTGATAAATAAACATTACTTACGTATTTTTAAAGAAGAACAATTCTAGTGGTTGCAGATCATGTAGGTCTGAGTTCCAGTCACGAATCACGATCAAACTAAAGACAATTAGATTTTGCCAGTTTAGAAAATTTCCTAACAGAAAAGCCTAACTTATCTTTGACCTAAGAAGTTATACAAACACCGACATTCGGAATAGAGCGCATCTGTTTACGCACATTATTGTACAAAACAATACGACGTAGGTGGTTAGTAGTGAGATTGGTCGCCGTGGCCGAAATTCGGTCAGGAGGGCGTCATGCATTAATGTATATAAATTACATATATACATTATAATATTAGTTTATCAGCTATCAATATTAGTTCTTAGTAATGCCGCTTAGCGATTGGCAATTTCATACAGCATTGAAAATAAACAGGAAGTAACTTGTGTACAGTATCTATAGTTAGCTATTATCCTGTAAGGAAAAAAAAAGAAGGATTCTGCTCTTAATTCGATATTTCAAAACGTTGATTATAATGATAATTTCATTAATTAAATAAAACAAGAGTAATTTTTGCACGGTAGCAGCTTTTAAATAGGTCTTGAGAGGTTAACTTCTTAATTACTTATAATTTATAGTAAGCACATGAAAGGTAAGAATAAAAATTCAGCACTTTTCACTTAAACCCAACGGAACTTTCACCGTTTCAATGGGCCGCCGCAGGATCATTACGCACTCGACTACGACGCCCCGTAGGCTGGCCTGCCGAAGCAGATCACAACAACTGGAAGGTCCCCATGGTCCACTTTGCTATCAGAGAAGTACCAGGAACCACCCGTATTGTATACCTCCCGAGGCCCTCCGAGTTAACACATGTCTTGCGGGGGGTGGGAACATAGGTTTTATCCTGCTTTTAAATATTTACTTTTTAGGATTCCGTACTTCAAGAGGAAAAAAGGAGCCCTAATACAATTACTTCGTTATCCGTTTATGTCGCTTTGGCACTCGCAAGGGAATCAAAACCTATAGGGTACTTCCCGTTGACCTAGAATCATGAAATTTGACAAGAAGCAATATCCTATACAGAAGTAAAGGAAAAAATGTAAAAACCATTTTGCAGTTTTATTACAAAAAAAATTTTTTTGCGTTTACAAACTTTTTCATACTACGGAGCCCTCAGTGTGCGACTCAAGCTCGCACTTTTTTTTCAGTACGAAACTAGTATATAAATATATTGATCCTTATGTTTGACATAGTTTTATTATCTGTAGTTGTAAGTCAGGTAAGTACTTCATTGCTTCCATTATCATCCATTAAGCAGATAAGGCCATATATTTTATTTTAAGTAGTTACCTAACAGAACTCTAAGTTGATACTTGGTTTCTTAGTTATATGAATATACCTACATAATACCCTTTAAAAATTAGCATAGAGAATGTACGAGCATAATGTAGAGTATGTATTGTGGACACAAGTATAAACTATATGGTATTTAAAATTGCTTATGTCAACTAAATATCCAAATCTTTTGTTAACATACTAATTTAAAATAATCATAAAAAAACACCCGACTGCATAAAAGTAAAGTTAAAAGGTGAAAACAAATGACGTAAAAACACGGTAATTGGCCATGATTGCTTAAAGCATTCGAAACATCGGGAACCAAAAATCAAAATAAATTCGCGAAAAAATCTGTTTTATCTGTACATATAATAAAACTGTAGAGGTTGAATGTCTGTAATTAAAAAATGGTAAAAAGCGAGTCAGGGATGTAAGAAGAGAAATAGAACAAATTCAGATTTTTTTCATTTTTTTTGTTTCTCTGTCTTTTATCTAATCGGGCTAATCTCCGAAACTGTGGACCGATTTAAATGAAATTTTGCATGATTTTTTTTATTAATTAGGATTATTTTCAAAATTCTATCAATTTGTTCACATTCGAAGAACTCGAATGTACTCATAGTAGTTAATTATATGTTTGTCTGTTGTAGTTGTAGTTTTCCATATTTTTGGCTATCACTTGATCTTGGTTCTACGAGAATGTCACCCTTCTATGGACCTCCTCCATTCTAACATCTGTTAATTATGCGACCAGACTTATATTATGAACTTATTTTATGTTTCATGGTACCGCTGGTGTGCAAGTCAAACTCGCACTTGTTCAATTTTTTTAAGGCTTTTGTTGACATAAAAAAATGAAGCTTACTAAGACACGGGTTATAGTAATAATCCTGTCTAAGTAATACTCGAATTCCTACCTAAAAGGTAAAAATAAAAAGTAAAAGTATCACCTTATTTTTACCTTTAATGTGCCAGACAATAGCAACGAAGAAACGTGCTAAGTTTATTTGAAAATCCCCTGCCCATTGACTACCATGATGATTTCTTTAGCGAAAGCGAATGTATTACTTTATTCTTAGTTAGTTAAGAATGGAGACGAAGGCAACATTATTATAAGTTATTTATTAGTTATTATAAGTTACTCCGAAACCCAATGTTGAGAGGAACCCAATTGTAGAGGATAGTACATGCAAATGTTGAGTGGCAGATTTTACATGTTTAGTTGAGCTTTAGTAGTTAGCACTAGTTTTTCAGCAAGTTCCTCATATCTACATTTATGTCAACAACTTAAAAAATGGCTTTATCAGCTTACTGATATGAGCACAAATAGTGTAATTGAATTAATTACGTAGTACCTTATTCCAACTTAACTTTTTTAATTGCGGCCTTGGGCTTAAAATGATAAGACGTTGTACTTGTTGACAATAAAAAAACTTAAAAAAAATCGACTTCCAGGTACTAAAATGTAAAAAATAACTAAACGGAGGTTTTAATTTAGAATAGATACCTAATAAGATATTTTCGAAGTCGGTGCCAGCCGACAATATTTTGAGATATGAATATCTAATAGGTAAACATGATTAGGTATGAACTGTAATTATAGTTTAAATATTTTACATCAATTTGTGATGTATTTTAGGTCTCGAAAAATAATAGATTTGCTTTACATCATTTGGATTTGATTTGAAATTGTTTTGGTGACAGATGATGTATAACTCTCACAATAGTAGAGATACGGTCGAAGTTATACTTATAGGCGCAAGAAAAAAATGTATGATGGCTCTCCAAATTCATAAAATGATTTTCTGTTATTGTTTTACGTTTTTTTGTTTTATATAAATAAATATAGGACGATAATTAATGGAATATACCTAGTATAGCGTAATTTAAGATGAATATCATATTAAAGGTAAAAACGTCTGATAAAACTCTTACCTACCTACCACTTTTTCCTGTACCTACTCTTCTATCGTTATCTACAGTAAACTACTCCAGGCTTGCACGTGCTATAGTATAGTGCACTTAAAGTCAACATTTATTTATAACTAATAATATTAAATATTATAAATAATAATATTATACATACTTAGATAAAAACTTATTTTATTTTATTTTACTATTTTATTTTATAATAATCCATATGACATCATGTATGACTAGACTAAGTATTTTTTCGATATCCAATATTTACGATAACCTCGATATTTTTCGATTTTATGATATATGTATATAAGAACAATAAAACCACAAGAACGCTTGTTTTCGTGATACAAACATTATTTTTTTTCAAAAGAAAAGAAGAAGCATGAACATCAAATAAACGAGAACATAATATAAATAACAAATATACGTACTGTAATTAATATAAATAAGTAAAAATAATTGAATTAGAAAAAATATAAACCTACTTAGTTAGTAATTATGTTAAATACTTAAAAGGTTAAAATGAGCGGAAATATAAATGTGAAATATTTAATTTACGTATCTAGGAACGATCTATTTATGTATATGCATTAAATTATAACTAAAAAATAATAGTACTAATACTGCGAATATTATTAAAGTAGTTTTTATAATATTCATATAGCACCTTCTTAGCTTTGAAAAAAGAAATCACGGTGATCGATCTAGACTCCTAGATTTCGGAATCCTGATAGGTACATCCATATCTACTTGGAATTTGGATATACAAAATAATACAGGCAAAATAAATAACTTTTACCGAACTAACAAACTAACTAACCGACTTTTTGTAGCTGTTTTTTATCTAAAGTGATGAAGTGAAAATAAATATTTGTTTAAAGAACTTACCAGTCTCAACCATAGCTTCTTCGAGCGTCGCTATGGATGTGTCAATTTTGGCGCCTTTTTCCATTCTTCCGTTCACGACCATGTTGTCAGTCTAATAAAACAAAGTGTAATAAAAATAATTAATGACCACGATTAAATTTATATTTGGATTTTTCTTATTGTACTGACAAATTTAATATAAAATTGCTAATTTAAATTTATTGTTTATATAAAAAAGGTAAAAAACATGCAAACACATGTACCTAATCTTTTTATAATTGTTATAATTTATTAATTAATAATTAATAAAATTAATAATTAATTAAATTTTTATTTTAAATATACCTTTTCAAATTTTCTAGGACCAATGATTATCTACCAAAACTATTCTAAGTGATAATAAAAAAATCTAACGTAAATACAATATGGACAAGCGTCTTTAATGACTGTCTTTGACTCAATGCAATCAAACCAACTAAACGGTGAAATAATTGTAATATCATATTAGAAAAAAGATAATCTATATCGTGACACTATACTCAGACCGCTATTTTGTTCCTGTATCTTTAAATAAATACTTGGATAAACTTCTGAAAAGCGGAAACCGAATTTCAAATTATGAATTTTGGCACCGAAATTCGTTTTGAGCTAGATAAAAAGATCACACAATAAATCACATCGGGACTAATCAACCTCCAGGAGGTCGCTTGACAGACAGGTGTTTTATGACATTGACCTTTAAGTCGATCGACAGACGAGGTATTATGCAATAATTCTAGAATACAATACGATGGAACTATAGAATGAATTTGTATATTTATTAATTATTCAATAGTAAAGCCAAGAAAAATATTTTATTAGGCCTTTTGTGTCATTTTTTAGAGTTTCGTAGCTAAAAGGCCAAAACTCTTATAATTTCTTCATGTCCGTCTGTCATATCTATTTTACTTTAAGACTATTAGAGCTACATTGCTGAGATTTTGTGTCTCATGGGTCACGTGATCCGCTAAATAATGTTTTAATCCGTTCCGTTTCCTGCGTTCAGCCACAAAATTAACGTTTTCTCATATTTAGTTGTAGTTTAAATATAAACTTATCTACGCCGTCACTAAAATTATTATCGTAGATAGTTAAATATTTTATTTAAGATTTGACAATAGTATTCTTTTATTCCTTCTACGGTATCCGCCACGTGTGAGTAGTATGTGTCCGATTTTTAATTAACTAGGTGTGTTGATAAGTTCAAAACGAGCGTTTCTACTCTGTTGCACAGACTGATGAAATTGTTTTTAATTTTTACAAGTGTGTGTTACCATCGCGGACAGTGATTACCACACATGAGTGATAAATAAAAAATAAAAATTCCTTATCAATTTGATTGTACACTAATTCTATTATTGCGATTTGTCGTAGAAGTAATTTGACTTTGGTTGGCTGTAAACATTATTGATAACAGCGATGGAAGTTTTTACCGTTATATGTAGTAACTAGCGACTCACCCTCGCTTCGCTCGGTTTCGTCCCTAGCTTGCTTCCCCATACAAACTTTCCTTCCCCATTTTCACCCCCTCAAGGGATAATTACCGGAATAAAAAGTATCCTATGTCCTTCCCAGGGTCTCAAACTATCTTCTTACCAAATTTCATCTAAATCGGTTCTGTAGATACAGAAATTACCCCCTACAACGTCACAAACTCACAATTCACAAACTCATAAACTTTATCTCTTTATAATATTAGTATAGGTAGATTGACGTATTAAACTTTATTTTTAACAAAAAAACTTTTTAGAAAAAACCATCTTATAGAAATATCACTCAATAGGTTACGACGCGGTCGCGGTTCCATACCTACGTGTATGTCGTATCTATTTAACCATTTGTTCAAATTACATGCAGTAAAAGGGAAAAGTTTTTTCTTTTAAACATTTTAGACGATAAATTTACTTATTTGGATAAGAATTCATAATTGTTGATAATATGACCAATAAACATGACCTACCGATTTAAATTATTTTTTAATATAAAAACTACTTTTTGTGACTTAAATATAAAAGTTAGACATATGCTGTCGCTGACTTTTTGTAGGCATTATTAAGCTCTCAACTTTTCTTTAGAACATAATCATATATCTCTCACCGTTAAGGCAGCGTTCGTAATTAGACCGACCGTTTTTTCTCCGACTTACTTTGCGAATCCAACTACCATAAAAAGGCTTCGTTATTCTTCGGGTTATAGCCTATGATACTCAGAAAGAACGTGACTTTCTATTGGTAAAAGAATTTTGAAAATCGGTTCAGTAGATCCAGAGATTACCCCCTACAACGTCACAAACCCACAAACTCACAATATCACAAACTTTACCTCTTTATAATATTAGTATAGATATTAACTGAAGTGTCTATTCGACCTTTAATAGGAGAAATAAAATATAATTATTCGTCCTTTATAAAGTATATAAATTATAAGGAAGTACGAATAGACTAATAAATATGTAAGTAGAATAAGAAGCTCGGCTCAGCTCAGTAGGTTAAGATAATTATTTTTTTTGCATATAGAAACTCCTGCAGCTAAAAACCACTTATTTTTACATTAGAAAACATAAAAGTATATTTTTTATTCATTCGATCATCGGACGAATAGCAACAGCCTCCTTTATTTATTATGCGTCCTATAGCAACAGCCAATATAAAAACTCACTGTATCTAATCGATAATAATAAAAACAATATTGTGACCTTTGATTATATGACTTGTATATAATCAAAGATTGTGATTTGTGACACTGGAAAATATTTTACGTTATGGGTTCAATGACCGTGTACATTGTCCGTAAAGTCACTCTTGTTGGGGATAGTCAAAAGGTTACATGCTTTTGACAATTTAAAAATTTGTTTACTTTTTAATTGTATACTAGCGACTTACCCTTGCTTCGTTCGGATGCGGTACGTTTTAAATAGATATGAATAGTCATTGCGAGTGTACCTTAGTCCTTAGGAGAAAGATTTTTCTGTAGGCCTTATTAAGACCTACAATTTTTTAGTACATTGTTTTGATGTATCTCTTAAGATTTAACCAGTGTTCGACATGTAAATTTCTAAGAACGATATAGATAGAACCAGTTACTGCGTTTTTTCTGTAGATATGAAAGATTTTCCTGTAGTGTTGTAAAAAATATTCTGAATCCGAGTAATAAATTACCACTACAACAATGACAAAATTTTTAAGAACTATTGTTTTTGGGTCTATATTCTGTACACGATATGTTACGATTATAGATAATCTGATATCGTCAATAATTGTGAACGAATGATTCTATTTTTATCCGACTACGATAAAACAAAAAGAGGGTTATTGTTATTTCCGACTGCATTATACTATGTTTCTTCGTCAAATTTTTATTTTTAGTTCGCCTTTTATGCAGTCTGGTGAGTTTAATTTTTGTAATGATATAAGCTATCCATATTTTAATATTATAAATGTGAAGGTAACTCCGTCTCTTACTTTGTCACGCTTAAATCGCAGAACTTTCGATAAAGTTTGGCAAGGACATATGTAGATTGCATCCTGGGATCGAACAGGCTACCCTTGATTTTCGATATAGCAAAAACTAGTACCTATATAAAAATTAAGGTTCTTAGGTATAAAGATTAAAGTTCTTTAAGTGCCTCGGTGGTTTAGTGTACGGTCAGTTACTGAGTATTTTTGTCAAGAAATTCTCAGTAACAGCCTGCAGTTCGGAAGTTGGCGGTGATTCACCCCCGTGCCTCGGAGAGCACGTAAAGCCGTCGGTCCTGGTCCTTAACTCTCACCGTTCGTGTCATAGTATCGACCCATCGGACAAATTGAGAGTAAAAAGGGTTACATACTCTCTATAATTGAGAGTGACAGGAATAAAAAATGCACTTGTGTCTGTGTATAGTATAATAATATCTCGTGTGCATCTGTCTATTCTCAGCGAAATTAGCCGTCGTTAGGAGTTAGGAGGAGGTTAGGAGGACATTGATATTATTATTAAAGTTCATAGGCCCACATAAATTTCAAGAAAAAATCTAATAATTACTTTAAAAAATAAATTTTAAAGTACCTTTTAAAGTCATTGTATCATTTTAGTTGAAAAATAGTTGTGTAAGGTCAATTTGGAGTTCTTATCTATTTTGTCATCGATTGACGATTTGTAGATGTACTTTCATCATCATAGGTTCAATATGTCACATTTACTTACGTAAGCACGTAATTATGATAATTTTTCATTAATAACATAACAGCTGTTCTTAATCATAATCTACCTGTACATATAATAAAATTGTAACTAAGCCAATCTGTACATTACATATTTTTTGGAAATCTTATTGCAATAGACAATATTATCGATACAGAGGCCGAATCTGTAGTTTTTAGACTTTTGTCTGTCTATTTGTGTCTGTCTGTCTGTCTCTCTGTGATCTGTTTAATGCAAGAAAATATCTCATCTTTGAGAAATATATATCCAAATTTAAATCGTAAGCAGGGATGAACCCAAGCATTTTGACAAATTACCAGACTTGTGTTGTCAGTGTATTTTCAAAATGTTAAATTTCATAAAATACTAGCGACTTACACTGGCTTCGCTCGGATGCGTTCCTAGGAACGTTTTAATTTTATTGAGCGGAATCGTAATACCTTTTTTAAATAAAAGTCTAAGTTACTCCTTATAACATCATATATCTGCTAGTGAAAGTTTCATCAAAATCAGTCCAGACGTCTCGAAGATTGGCCGGAACAAATAGACAGACATACAGACAAAAAGACAACAATTTTAAAAATTGTGTTTTCTTATAAGTACCGTATATAATTTTATTAAATTTAGTTAAAAGCTGTTATATTAACATTAAAGACTTCAATTTTATTATTAGAAATATACAAATATTGGGTGATGGAATCATTACATTCATTTTCTGAGCAATGTCTTTATATACGTACGAGTATATGTATATGTAAATGTACCTTTGATTTTTTTAATCATATGGTTAATTTTATTTCCAGTAGAGTAACCATGATAATTTACCTAATTTATTTACTAATTTTACTACTTATCGCTAAAAGCAAGCAACATAATAATGTGATT